TGAAATATTTTAAAATTTAATCAAGCAGTTTTATATGTTTTGTTTTAAAAGTTATGTTTTTAGCTTTAATTTAAATATTTAAAACGAAACTATGAATTAAATACGCAGATATTTATTTTTAAGGTATATAAAAAGTTTTATATCAAGCTTCATTGCCATATATATGTACATAAATGCAATTTAAATAAACGTCCTGTTCAATCATAGAAGTTCGTTTGACACACAATTAGTTTCTAAGTCCAGCAATGATTTCTGGACGAAAATCGTCTTCTCTAACAAATACGCAAGTCATCCAACCCGTGAAACGGTTCCACTTATGGAACTAATAAACAAATTTTTAAATTCAATTATCCAACGGTTCCACTTATGGGATTAATAAACAAATTTTTAAATTCAATCTGAGCTACATTGCCTTTGCCTTTATTTATGATTCTGCCTTCGCCTTTTTCATTAACTTCGAAGGCAGCGCTTGACCGTTCTGCTAAGATAAATAAACCTATAGTAAAGTAAACAACAGCTTCCGTTCGAAGCCAAACTCTCACGTTCAAAGACAAAAGTATTGCGTTCCAATTTTTAATCAAAATTGCATCGGTCAGCATAATTGAATTTCACAACGAGATGCGACAACAAAAATCAAAGTTCTAGAAGCTTAAAAAAGAAAAGCTTCTGGCCGAGGTTCGTTGGAGAAGATTTTAGAATTAAGGAGTCAGTCTTATTCGGATTGAAACCGGGATCGGTCATAAGAAATAATAATAAGTGAAAGTGTCTTGATGTAATAAAGAGTGAGTGAATTAAGGTCTGCACCAATAAAGTGAAATTAAAAAATAAAATTTATATTTTTTTAATCAACCAATACGATCAAATTTAATTGGCGCCCAACGTGGGGCTGTGTCATTAAAAAGTTCCAAAAATAAAAATTTAATGAAAAACAAAGTTAAATTAACAACGGAACTCGCGCAGCCAAGAACTCAAATTTTTATTGGAAAAATTAAAACATCCAACACCAAACAGTGATCGTGTAATGGAAACCAATAAATGAAATAATCCATTAAGTTGATTAGTTGGTGGACTGAAGATCTAAATCTCAAACATCAAGAACACTATAAAAATAAAATAAATCCGAAAACCGCTAAAACCGCTAAAACAAATAAAACTACAAAACCAACCAAAAACAACAAGCAAATAATAATAATAATAATAAAAAACCAAAGACAAATTGAAGGAAGGGCTGTAGGGCAATCCCTCGCCAACACTGGAAAAAATTTTTTAATCTCTGTCGACAACAAGAAGAACATCGCATAAATTGAAGGAAGACCCCATCGGACAGTATCGTGAGGATAAATATAATTTTACTTTAATTAAGGAGTTTGAAAAGAAAATTAATTTAAGACAAGCAAATTTTTTAAGAAATAACAGTGAGAATAAAAAAGAACAATCTGGAAAATTTAATAGATAGTTTCGGTGAATTAAATTTAAAAATGGCAACTAATTTTTCTGCAGGTGGTTTAGCCACAGCCAGTAACCTAACTGTGGAATTAATTAACAGATTAATTAATGTTCAATTGAGCGAAGTAAGCAAAAAATAGATGGTTTGGAAGAAAAGTTAGCAACAGACGCAAACATAGTAGAGGACTATAAAATTCAAGAAGTTGACCCAAATATAAAATGTGAAACCACTCTTGAAGTAATAAATTAATCCCGAAGTTCACCGGGGAACCAACACAATACGTAGGTTGGAGAGAAGCTGCAGAAACTGCAATGAGCCTTTATAAAATTCAAAGTCAGCAGTATTTTATCGCGTTAACAATTTTACGAAATAAAATCATGGGATCAGCCCATGACGCTCTTACCAATCATGGCACTGTTCTAAATTTTCAAGGAATTTTATCTAGATTGGATTTTATATATAGTGATAAACGACCAATCCATATTCTTGAGTCCGAATTAAGTATCCTTAGACAAGGTAGAATGACAGTTACTGAATACTATAATAAAGTTAATAAAAAAATGACTTTACTAATAAACAAAACTATAATGACATACGGAAAAGATAACGTAATTACCAAAGAAACAAACAAAACAATAAGGAGCAATGCTCTACGAATTTTTATCTCTGGATTAAATGGTCCGATAGCAGAAACCCTTTTCTCATTAAATCCACCGGACTTGCCCAATGCGTTGGCAAAGGTCCAGGAATTAGAGTCAAACAATTTCCGAGCTCAATTTGCAAACAGATACTATGGTTTTAAAAATGAAAATAAAAATCAGGGAAATAATTTAAGATTTAATTCTAAACAAAACACTAATACTAAAGGGAACGGAAATAATTGGAATTGTAATCAAAATAATAATTGGCCACAGAATAAGAATTTTTGGCAAAATAATAATCAGAATACCAATCAAAAGGAACAACCTGTCGAGCCAATGGATGTAGATTCATCGCTCCAATTTCAAAATAAGCCCAGAAATAATTGGCAGTCAAATAATAATCGAGGTAGATATAATAATAATTATTATCAAAACAATAATCGCACAAACTATTATAGTCCAAATCAAACCAAAGAGCAAACTCAAGCTCAAAAAAGGGAACTAGAAGGAACAGTTAATCAGCCTGCTAATAAGGTAACAAGATTAAATAATATCAATGAAGATCATTTTTTAGATCAGACCCCTACAGGGGAATGCCTTATCTAAAAAGAGTGGACAGAAAAACTAAGAAAGAGTTAAATATTTTAATAGACACGGGAGCAACGGCTTGCTATATAAAGAAGGGAATTTTTGAGAATAAAAATGAATTATCTATTTACAAAAAAGTATCTACAGTTCATGGGTATTCAATTATTAAATATTACCATTATATAAATATATTTGGAACAAGACATTTGTTCTATGAAATAGAAGGATTGGAATCTGACCTATTAATTGGGTTTAATTTATTAAGAAAAATCGGAGCAATTATAAATATTGAAAAGAGAGTGTTGGAGTATAAAGGGAATACAGAAAAGTTATTATATTACGATAGTGAGGAAAAAAATGAAACAAGTTTAATGGAAGTCAATAATACTCTTCCATTAAAAGAATTTATTTTAAAAAAATATTTTGATTATATAAGTTTCGAAAACACAGATTCTATATTTGTGGAAAGAAGCGAGAAAAGTTTGGGATCAACAAATCCTGAACCCGCCGACGATGAAATTTCCGTCAACAAAAAATTAAATAGTTTGGGATCAAAAAATCCTGAGCACGCCGACGATGTAGTTTCCGTCAACAAAAAATTAAATAGTTTGGGATCAACAAATCCTGAACACGCCGACGATGTAGTTTCCGTCAACAAAAAAATTATTGGTTTAGGATCTAAAAATCCTAAACACCCCGACGTCGATTTTTCCGTCAACAAAAGAATAAAAAAGCGAAATAAAATGAACAATATTAATATGACCAGTACAAATCGAATAGAAGTACTGGAGAAGAAAATAATTGACATAATCGAGGAGGAACACTCAAAAATAAATTTAAAAATTCCTTTTCGTACCGATATTCGGAGTGAAATAAACACCGAAAATGACAGGGCAATTTATAGTAAACAATATCCTTATGCCTTATCAGTATTCGATTTTATTAAAATAAAAAAAAAAAAAAAATAAAAAAAAATTTAAAAAAAATTAAAAAAATTTTTTTCTCCAGTGTTAGTGGTACCCAAAAAGAAATGAGGTCAAAATGAAGATGGCAGTCTCAAACATAGATTAGTAATAGATTACAAAAAACTGAACGAAAACACTATACCGGACAGATACCCGATGCAAGACCCGTCTGTAATATTAGCTAATTTAGGAAAGGCTAAATACTTTTCAACAATTGATTTGGAATCTGGATTCCACCAAATTTTAATGAAAGATTCAGATATTGAAAAAACAGCATTTTCTATTAATAACGGAAAATTTGAATTTTTACGAATGCCTTTCGGGTTAACAAACGCACCCAGAATTTTTCAAAGAGCTATGGATGATATCTTAAGAGAACAAGTAGGAAAAACTTGCCATGTTTATATGGACGATATAATTATTTTTTTTAACACTATTGAACAACTGTAAGGATGTTTCTACGGCTGGGATGGAGCTCAGTCTCCCCAGGATCCTTTACAATCGAATTTGTAAATAAGTGGGGACGAGTTGAGGCGGGCAATCTGGACGCAGTCGCCGATGCGCGCGGTTGTCCTTATTGGTGGGTCAGATCAGGCGTATGGGACTCGGATTTGGGCCAGACGCGAACGAGTGAAAGCCGTCACGTGCGTGCCGGAGGAGGCACAGTGGGGGGGATTGGCCCGTACCACTGTGTCAACTCCCGCCGCCTGGGGCGCTGTTTCACGCCCACGCAGAGGAATCGTCTCTAAACATGGACAGAAGTCAGCGTTCCCAGTTCTGGGACAGGCTCCCACTGTTCGGGATGGGTGTGCGTCGGTCGAAACCGAGACGGAAAGCTATGCAAGCGGAGAGAAAACCCGTACTTACACGCCTTCACGTCTGTGCACGTGGTTGCCACCAAAGTCCAGTTGCGCAGAGGAATCTTCTCGAAAACGCAACCGGCTTGGCCTGGGCCACTGTTTGGCACACGCGGGTCGGGTTCGGGTTACTTGAGGCTTGGGTGTGTCGACCGGAATCGCGACGGAAAGCTATGCAAGCGGAGAGAAAACCCGTACTTGCACGCCTTCACGTCTGTGCACGTGGCTGCCACCAAGGTCCAGTTGCGCAGAGGAATCTTCTCGAAAACGCAACCAGCTCGGTTTAGGCCACTGTTTTAGCACACGCGGATCAGGGCTCTGAGGGTCCGGGAAGAAAGAAAATCCAACTCGGTGTATGTTCGCTGTTCTTATTGTCCGTATTTTCGTTTTATTTTTCTTGGTTATCTTTGTGGGCTTTTCTTCCTCTTTTCTATCTGTATATTTTCCCTAGCCGCACTATTTTCTTTCCCTGTCTCTCCCTATCTCTCTCGCACTCTACTCACTAGGGTCCTTCGTCCTGATCCTTGATGTCCTGCGGGTCCTTGGTGTCCTGCGGGTCCTTGGTGTCCTGCGTGTCCTTATGCGTGGTTTCCTCTGGCTTCGATGCTTGTTCCTGGACTGGTGGCGAATGAAAGAGAGCTGGGCTAGCAGCCGCCGGGTTTATATAGCCAGCCGGGGCCTCGCTTCTCAACACTGAAACCGTGCGCAGGTCGCCTAATCCGATCGTGTGTAGATCGCCTAACTCGCTGAGTAGAGTGCTTGATCAGCTGAGATCCTACATTAAATAACGCCTGTTTGAACTACCGGCTAACGGCCGAAGTTCTTTTGAACTTAACGGCTCTTTTGGCTTCTTGCCTGCCTCCGTGGCCTATCCTATCTTAGTACTAGTTCCCCTTTTTTTCTTATTGTCTACCAATATGTACATCTTAAATTACTATCTTATCATTATTAGCTTATTGTCTACCAATATTTGTAGGAATGTGGGGCAGCTTTTACGGTGCCTCACACCCCCCTTACGTCGGGGTGGCGAAGCGAGATGGCGATGCCGCGTCGGGCCGTGATCGTGATGCGGAATCGGTGTTCCCGGTGGTGCCGCAGGAAACGGACGTTCGTGCGGTCGTGGGTCTCCACGTACTCCACGATGGCGCGGGGGAGACGGCGCCCGTTCGTGTCCACCCTCCACGCTGCCGGTGCGATGACCCAATCATCCTCGTCGAGGATTTGCTCCACCCCCGGGTGCTCCCGTAGCGCCTGCAGGAGTGCGTCTTCCTCTGGTCCGGCCGGGAAGAGACCCAGGTCAATAATGTCGGCGTCCTCCGTGTCGTCGGGCCTCGCTATGGGGTCGCAGGCACCTCTGTCTCTACCCAGTTCCGGTCCCGTCGGGTGGAGATCGAGCCAGCTGATCATCTCTACCCTCGGGATGCTGCTCCCTGGAGTGAGTGGGATTAGTCCGTCCACGGTGGCTTCTCTAGGACTCGGTGTCCGAGGGCTCTCAGGGGAGGCGGGCAGTGGCGTTGCTTGCCTGTCCTCCCGCTCGGGGTGCCGGTCTTGAGCACCCGAGCTTCCAACCTCGGGGATTCCCCTTCCCGGTGTAGCTGGAAGTGGCTCGCTTTGTGCTGCGGTCGTCTGGGGACTCGGGGTCCTGGCTTCGGCTTCTGCTTGCTGCGTGTCCCGCGTCGTCGGGCAGCCCGGTGTGGGATCCGTCCCTTCCTCGCCTTCGTCCCTCTGGGGCGACTCGGCAGCCACGGCCTCCGCGTCGGCGTCGTCGCTCAGGGATCCACTCACCGAGGTACCCATAAACGAGTCCCCGGTGGCATCGGCTTCCCGTGAGGCGGTCGAGGCGGGGGGGGGGGTGCGTGGCCGTGCTGCGTAATCGGCCCAAGCGTCGTTGGCCTCCGCTAGTGAGCACTGGCGGGGCACGGGTGGGCCTCCAGTCGCGAAGCGGCCATCCCCTCCGACTGACGAGTCGTCTGTTGACGGTGCCGGGTGTGGTACCCAGGTCTGACTCTCCTGGACGCATCTCTCCTCAAACCCCTCAGCGAACGCCGGCGTCATTACGCTCTCCAGCCAAGCGGTCATTAAATAGTAGGACGTGCCGTACCCGACTGCTGGGGATCCTGCGACGTTTAACCGCGCCAGCCTCGCTGTAGTCAGTCCCCTCGTGTCGGGCTCAACATCTCGAGCTGGCGGCTCCTCCTCCTGCCTTGGTGGTCCGTTTGATCCACTGCTCACCTCGCATTCGTACGACGGGTCGACTGGGATTGTGGATTGGGAGTCGGCATCTCCGTCGCGGACAAGAGGTGGGGGCGGCGGTGTCCCGGCCGGGTCGCACGGCGGCGACGCGATGCGCTCCGCGTACTCCAATAGCCCGGAGTCGGTGCTGTTGGTGGCAGCTGGTGGTGAGGGAGAGCGGGTGGAGTCGCTCCATGGGCGGTATTCATACTCCTCGTTTTCGGACATGGCGAAGGCGTGCTAGTAAATGTAACGTATTAGCTTAGGTTTTGTGTGTGAATCCTACCTATAGTGCGGCTGAGATACTTATGGTTCTAGATTACAAGTTCAGAGTTCTTAGCTTACTTGGCGGCTTAACCTAACTATGGCAGCGCGGGTGCCCCTCTTGACTCACGTGACCCCGCTCGATGTTGGTTTATTCGAAGTGTACTCGTCGATGGGTGGCTTTCTTGGGCTGGGTACGCTGCTCAGTGACTTGGACATCCTGGTTGTTCTCCTGGTCGAGTGTCTCCTGCTGGTCGCCCAGAGCTTGGGAGTCTTCTGGATCCACGTTCGGGGGTTCGGAGGCGAACGCTTCTGTGTAAGGCTCTATCTCGTTGTCCGTTGTATCTTCTTCGTCGTCGGCTTCTCCGGTCCTGTACTCTTTGAGATCTGGGAGACTGGCAGTCCGCCGTTTCCTAGAGCCCCGCAGTAGTAGGCGCACTACGTTCTGTGACAGGAACTTCACCACTTTGTATGGTCCGGTGTACTTCGGGGCCAACTTGGCGTTGAATCCCTCGCTGGCCTTGGACAGGTGATGGGTACGGACCAGCACCCATGATCCCACCAACGGTCGCCAAGCGCGCCGCCGTAAATTGTAGTACCGTTGCTGTTCCTGGGATGCCCGCTCGTTGTTCTCTCGTGCGATGGCATATGCCTCCTGTAATCCTTTAGCCCGGTCTTCGGGTGGCTGTGGGGTGGTACTTGAGCTCGGCGTCACCTTGTCGTACCAGGCCCCCGGCAGGCGTGGCTCGCGGCCCTGGACTAAATAGGCGGGGCTGAATCCCGTGCTGTCCGAGATGCTGGAATTCACTGCGAGCGAGATCTCTGGCAGTAGTTGGTCCCAGGATCGCTGGTCGTCCGCGGTGTATTGGGCGATCATCGTTTTGATCGTCCGGTTCGCACGCTCGGTCGGGTTCTGTTGCGGCGAGTACGGAGCCGTGTACTGAATCTGGACGCCGGCCCGTTTGCAGAGTGCCTTGAACCCTCGACTCGTGAATTGCGCGCCGTTGTCGCATATCAGTGTGCGTGGGGTTCCGAATCGGGAGAGGATGCGCTCTCGGAACGCCAGTTCCAGCTGGGCCGTCGTCGCCTTCCGCAGCGGTATGATCTCGACCCATTTCGAGAAGACGTCCAGGAAGACCAGCAGCATTGTATTCCCGCGACGAGACCGGGGTAGGGGTCCGATGAAGTCTGCGCTGACCATTGTGAAGGGTTCCTCTGGGCGACGGGTGAGCATCTTCCCCGCGGGCTTGAGCTGACTCACCTTGAACCGCTGGCAGGTCTCGCAGCACCTTACGTGTCGTCGAACGTCTCGATGCATTCCGGGCCAGAAATAGCGCTGTCCAACTCGTCGGATCGTCTTGCGGATCCCTAGATGCCCTGCCGAGGGGTGGTCGTGGCACTCTTCCAGCACGTGTCGTCGGTGCTCCGTGGGAACGCACAGCTTCCATGGGCTGATGCCTTCGTCGGGTGCTGGATCGCCGAGGTGGCGGTACAGCTGTCCGTTCTCTCTGGCGTAGTCCGGAAACTTTTCCGGTTGGGCGTCGATTTGTTCCAGTTTGGCTCGGATCCACTTGCATGGTGATAATGCTTCCTGTAGCTGGTGGAGCGTGTCCAGTGGTTGGCGTGACAGTGCATCAGCGACCACGTTCTGGTTACCCTTCCTGTAGTGCACGTCGAATTGGAACTGCTGGAGTTCCAGCGCCCAGCGAGCGATACGCCCGGTCGGGTTTTCAATGGTATTCAGCCATTTCAGGGCTAAATGGTCCGTGATAACATCGAACCGATACCCTTCCAGGTAGCACCGGAGTTTCCGAATGGCCCAGACGATGGCGAGGCATTCTTTCTCGGTGGCCGAGTAGTTTTCCTCGGATTTCACCAGTCGCCGGCTAGCGTACGCCACCACTCGTTCGCCTTCTTCGGCTTGCTGCGTCAGGACTGCTCCGAGCCCGTAGTCGCTGGCGTCGGTTTGCAACTGGAACTTCCGGGTGAAATCCGGGCATGCCAACACCGGTGCTTCGGTGAGTTTGTTCTTCAGATCTTCGAACGCGAGTTGCTGTGGTTCCTCCCAGAGCCATCGTTTCCCTTTCCGTAGCAACGTGGACATCGGCTGCACTATGGCGGCGAAGTTGGGTACGAATCGCCTATACCATGAAGCGACTCCCAGACATCGCCGCAGCTCCTTGCAATTTGTGGGGGGTTGTAGCCCCTTTATGGCCGCGATCTTGTCCGGATCGGTCTGGATACCAGCCTCACTGATCACGTGCCCCAAGTATACTAGGCTTCGGCAGAAGAACTTGCACTTGGCCCGGTTCAGCCGTAGGTTGGCATTCCGAAGCCGCTTGAAGACCTCCTTGAGGTTTTGCATATGTTCCTCCCGCGTAGCTCCTGTGACGATGATATCGTCTAGGTAGGCAAAAGCGTGAGGCTCTAGGTCCGGCCCGATGACGCTATCCAGGGCCCTTTGAAACGTCGCTGGAGCCGAATGTAATCCAAACGGCATTACTCGCCACTGGAACAATCCTCGTCCCGGCACGGTGAATGCGGTACAAGCGCGACTTTCCTGCGCCACTGGGATCTGCCAGTAGCCGTTTTTCAGGTCCAGCGTCGAGATATAGCGCGCGTTCCGCAGGCGCTCCAGGATGTGGTGGATGCGCGGAAGTGGGTACGCATCCGGCACGCTGTGTGCGTTTAACTGCCGGAAATCGACACACATTCGCATTTCCCCAGTCTTCTTCCTCACCAGGACAATGGGAGCACTATGCGGGCTCCGTGATGGTTCTATCCTCCCATCCCGGAGTAGTTCATCGACTTGATCACTGATGATCTGCTGCATGGCCGGGTTCTTTGGGAAATACCGCTGCTTCAGTGGCTTTTCGTCCCGCATGACTATTTGGTGCTCCGCGATGTGGGTCACCCCGGCCAATCCGTCGAATTGCTTCAGCTCTTCCTCGAGGAACGCTAGGGTTCGGGGTTCCATAGGCTCGCCGGTGAGTGTCTGTGGCTGCTGTTCTTCCAGACATTCGGCGATGGCGGCGAGATTTGCCGTAAGCTTATCGTGACTGGTCTGGTTTCGGAACGGGTTCCTCTCACGGGCCACTCCTGCATCCGCTAGTGGAGTCAACCCGTACTTGCTGGCCCCTCCGGTAACCGCATGCGGCGGGAGATCGGATGACATAGTTGGACCCGGTCGTCCTGGAGGCCGGGAGGGTGGGGCAGGTACCGCTCGAGAGTTCGGGGACGGTGACGACGATGATGTGGCCGTGGTGGCCCTTGGAGACGGCGATGATGACGATGTGGCCATGGTGGCCCTTGGCGATGATGACGATGACGATGACGATGAGGTGGCCGTGGTGGCCCTTGGACACGGCAGCGGTGACGATGTGGCCGTGGCGGCCCTTGGCGACGATGACGATGACGATGAGGATGCATCCGTGGTGGTTCTTGACGATGATGACATGGCTCGAGAGCCCGCTGACGCTGTGGCGTCACTTGACTGCTGGAGTGGATCCCGTGGGTGTCCACCGATTACGACACCCGCTCGGGGTGGGTTCGTGGCTGTCGGGTCTGCAGGCAGTGTCTCGGGCTCGGTTGCCGTCGTTGCATCTCGAGGGGGCGCCGGAAGGAGTCGCAAGCAAATGCGACCACAGATCAGGGACGCCTGGATGGCGCACAAGAAATCGATCCCTAGGATAACGTCGTCCAGGATCGTGGGTAACACCAGGAGGGGTAGCTCGGCCTCTTGCTGGTCCAGTTTGACGCGTGCCCACACGGCTTTGGTGACTTCTTGAGAGGAGCCGTCAGCCAAGGAGATCCGTGTTCGCACTGCCTTCCTGTTAGTGGTGGTGGCCAGAGTTTGGGCCACTCGCTCGCTTACGAAGCTGCGCGACGCTCCAGTGTCCAGCGTGGCCAGGAATGGTCGTCCGTTGATGCTAATCGTCGCTACTATCCGCCCGTCCTTCAGTCGAAGTGGTGGCTTTACGGGTTGGGAAGTGTGCTGGCTGTCCCCGGTCGCTCCCAATTCGAGCGGGGGTGCTGTCCGTTTCCCGACTGCCGACAACAGTTTACTGTCCGCACGCCTCTGCGTCCGCAATCCCAACAGAATAGGCGGGGCGGCCGAGTGCACTCTTTGGCGAAGTGGCCTACCTCTGCGCAGCGGCGGCAGGCACGCTGAATGTCCACCGGCCGGCTGTCCTCGTCGGAGATCATGTGATTCGTAACCCCGATGGGCAGGGGGACGGCGTTGGGTTCTCTTGCAGTCGTAGTCCTATGGTATGATGGTGACCTATGTGCCTGGTCCGACCCCATGGTGGCGAAGTGGGCGAGGGCGGCGTGCCGGATCGAGTCCCGATCCCGTGCGATCTCGTATGCGGTGGCGAGCTGTGTCAGCGTTTCGAGTGTGGAGAACTCGTGGCGACGGATAAAGAGCTGATATTCTGGCAACAAGTTCTCATATATCCTTTCGAGCTCGTCTGCCAGAGTGTACTTCGCGCGTTGCATCATGAGTCTCAGGTCCACAAGAAAGTTCTTGAATGGCTCCTGCGGCTGTTGATACCGGGTGCGGATCGTGTCCTCCAACCTTTGAAAGTACCTCGGAGGCAGGAAGAACTCCAAAAACTCGGTCTTAAATAGAAGCCATGGCGCGGAGTGCATGCGATAGGCTCGGTACCAGCCTTCCGCTCTTCCAGATAGTAATCCGGAGATGGCTCTGGGTACGTCGCTGATCCGGACGTTGTAGGCGGCTGCTCCTTCCTCGACTCGTTCCACGAAATGGACCGGGTCCGTTTGTCCGTCGAAGAGGATTCCCCAGCTCCGTAGCTTCTCGGTCAGTACTGCTGCGGATATGGCATCGCGCGGTGCTCGGTCAGTGGAGGCCGTGGTTGCGTTCTGGGCTTCCGCGCTGGTGGTCATGCGTCCTGGTGAGGATGACCGCCCGGGTACGATCAGCTTCATGCCCCCTGCTTCCGGCATTGGGGACGTGGACCGTGATTGCACTTCCTTCGCGGATGGTGCCTCGGGATAGAGGGCTTCTAGCTGGGCGAGTCGAGACAGCGTAGCCTGGCCATGCTCTGTCTTCCCGATAAAGTCGGCTAGTCGTGTTCGCAGCTCGGCTACCGTTCCTGCCGTTTCTAATCCGAACTCCTTGAGGAGTCCCTCCAGTTCCTCTTTTCGGCGATATGAGATCCAGCGAACGCCCATGGTGGCCGGCTTTTCCTCACATCCGATTGCTACGACTAATTCCTCCAGGTTGTCGTCCGGCGTGGGTTTTCCGGGTGGTCTTTGATGCCCAGTTCCTTTATCCTTGGCGTCGGTGTCCAACGACCACGTTGGCGGCGACGTAGAGTGGCCGAAACGAGGCTTAGTGGCGATGTTGAACGGCGTTGATGGCCAGCGACCACGTTGGCGGCGACGCTGGGCGGCTTGGCCGAAGGATCCGGTGGGGATCAGCGGCGTCGTTGGCCGAAACGAGGGCTGACAAAACTGCGCTGCGTAGGTGATGGCTATGCGTCGGTGGCGGCGCTGCGTCGGTGGCGATGCTTGACCACGTGGGTGGCGCTGAGTCGCCTCGCCCACAAATCCGGCAGGGATCAGTGGCTTCGATGGCCGGAACGGGGCTGGCGGCGCTGCGCTGCGTCGATGAGGCTTCTCGACCACCTTGGAGCGACGTTGAGCGGTCTGGACCCCAATCCGGCGAGGATCCGCGGAGTCGATGGCCGGAACAAGGGCTGGCGACGGTGCTGTGCGGCCGAACCGAGGTTTGGCGAGGATCGGTGGTGTCGTTGGTGACGGCCACGTTTAAACGGAACGATAAAAGTTCCCCGTTGCAAATAGAGGAGAGAGAGAGCCCCAACCAAAACTATGGCGGCAGTCGTGTGCGTATCAAAAATTGTTTTCCTATTGGCGTGCGTGTTTGCGGGGTTTTTGCGACCCTGGTTTTTCTGGTGCTTGGCGCGTGTAACGACCCTGTCTGTTTTGCTGAGCTGGCGTGCGTCTGACGTGTGCGACGACCCTGTCTGTGGCAAAAAAATTTCTCCTAGCGTCGCTGCTGGTGTGCGCGGTGCCCCTTGGTGGCCTAAGCGATGTCTGGCCAGGATCTATATATGCTGGCGTGATCGGCCCGCGTGCCGGGGTGGTTTTTGTGGCGATGCCGGGCGCTCTGGGTGGCCGGGCGGCTCGGCGACGGCCAGCGGCGTCTTATGGGTCTTTAGGCCATAAATTTGGTGGACTCCGGCTCGTCTTCCACTCGTCCCTGTTCGGGCGCCAGACTGTAAGGATGTTTCTACGGCTGGGATGGAGCTCAGTCTCCCCAGGATCCTTTACAATCGAATTTGTAAATAAGTGGGGACGAGTTGAGGCGGGCAATCTGGACGCAGTCGCCGATGCGCGCGGTGGGCCTTATTGGTGGGTCAGATCAGGCGTTTGGAACTCGGATTTGGGCCGGATGCGCGAACGAGTGAAAGCCGTCACGTGCGTGCCGGAAGAGGCACAGTGGGGGAATTGGCCCGTACCACTGTGTCAACTCCCGCCGCCTGGGACGCTGTTTCACGCCCACGCAGAGGAATCGTCTCTAAACATGGACAGAAGTCGGCGTTCCCAGTTCTGGGACAGGCTCCCACTGTTCGGGATGGGTGTGCGTCGGTCGAAACCGAGACGGAAAGCTATGCAAGCGGAGAGAAAGCCCGTACTTACACGCCTTCACGTCTGTGCACGTGGTTGCCACCAAAGTCCAGTTGCGCAGAGGAATCTTCTCGGAAACGCAACCGGCTTGGCCTGGGCCACTGTTTGGCACACGCGGGTCGGGTTCGGGTTACTTGAGGCTTGGGTGTGTCGACCGGAATCGCGACGGAAAGCTATGCAAGCGGAGAGAAAACCCGTACTTGCACGCCTTCACGTCTGTGCACGTGGCTGCCACCAAGGTCCAGTTGCGCAGAGGAATCTTCTCGAAAACGCAACCAGCTCGGTTTAGGCCACTGTTTTAGCACACGCGGATCAGGGCTCTGAGGGTCCGGGAAGAAATAAACCCAACTCGGTGTATGTTCGCTGTTCTTATTGTCCGTGTTTTCGTTTTATTTTGCTTGGTTATCTTTGTGGGCTTTTCTTCCTCTTTTCTATCTGGATATTTTCCCTAGCCGCACTATTTTCTTTCCCTGTCTCTCCCTATCTCTCTCGCACTCTACTCACTAGGGTCCTTCGTCCTGATCCTTGATGTCCTGCGGGTCCTTGGTGTCCTGCGGGTCCTTGGTGTCCTGCGTGTCCTTATGCGTGGTTTCCTCTGGCTTCGATGCTTGTTCCTGGACTGGTGGCGAATGAAAGAGAGCTGGGCTAGCAGCCGCCGGGTTTATATAGCCAGCCGGGGCCTCGCTTCTCAACACTGAAACCGTGCGCAGGTCGCCTAATCCGATCGTGTGTAGATCGCCTAACTCGCTGAGTAGAGTGCTTGATCAGCTGAGATCCTACATTAAATAACGCCTGTTTGAACTACCGGCTAACGGCCGAAGTTCTTTTGAACTTAACGGCTCTTTTGGCTTCTTGCCTGCCTCCGTGGCCTATCCTATCTTAGTACTAGTTCTCTTTTTTTTCTTATTGTCTACCAATATGTACATCTTAAATTACTATCTTATCATTATTAGCTTATTGTCTACCAATATTTGTAGGAATGTGGGGCAGCTTTTACGGTGCCTCACACAACACTATGCTGATTTAATTAAAATAATTAATATTTTACAAAGAGCAAATATGAAAATTTCTCTCGAAAAATCTAAATTCTTTAAATTAGAAACCACATTTCTAGGGTACATTGTTTCTCATAATGTAATTAAAACGGATCCCGAAAAAATACCCCAATTAAAAAATATCTGATTCCACGTAATATTAGAGAACTCCGAAGTTTTTCTAGGTTTAACAAGGGTATTACAGAAAGATGGTATTCTTTCATTGAAAGTTTTTACCCCCAAAAATTATATTCAAACCCGGAACAAAAAAATTTTTGGCCCAACCTTTTATCACGAATACAAATAAATAATATTACAAACAGCGATATAGACGTTTCTGAACAGTCAAACTCAGACCAAGACACAGAGCATTCAGCTGAAAGTAGTTTTGAAAATATAATACAAGAGACCCGTAAACCGTTAAATCAATTTAAACAACAATTGTTATTAACAACGGGGAGGTATACAATACATGAGTCACTGGACATTTTTGACAAGACAAGACACATAATCGAATATGATACAGTTGAGAATTTAATAAGCATATTAAGAGAGTATCTTCCACCTAACATAACGGTTGGAATTCATTGTAGTTTAGAAGATTTATATCATATTCAAGTATCTTTAAGAAATAGTTTTACTAACAAATTTCTTTTTACGCGATTATTTTTACAAGACGTAGAAAACGCCGAAGAAACACACAATCGAGCTCATAGGGGACTAGACGAAAATCATAAACAAATCAGTAGATTATATTATTGGCCCAATCTATTTGTAAAACTAAAAGAATATATAAAAAATTGTAAAATTTGCAATGAGAACAAATATAACAGACACCCTATTAAAATTCCAATTGGGGAAGCCCCAGTCCCAACTAAAGAAGGCGAACATTTACACATTGATATATATTATGCGCAAAGTTTAACTTTTTTAACTTGTATTGACGCGTACTCTAAATTCCTAGTAGTTAAAGAAATTCAGAATAAATTAAATATCGAAAATAAAGTAATGGAACTACTTCAACATTTTCCCCTAGCCAAAGTAATTATGACCGATAACGAACCGAGATTTACCTCAGCTCAATTTAAATCTTTTGCACAAAGATGCGGCGTAACTCCACATTACGCAGACCCGAGGCACAGTACCTCAAACGGACAAGTGGAAAGGGCACATTCGACATTAACAGAATTAGCTCGCTGCATAAAAGAACAATTTAATTTAACTGACTATTCCGAAATCGTAATAAGAGCCGCTCAGGAATATAATCAGAGTATTCATTCCACAACAAACCAAAAACCTATTGACATTCTTTATAATAAAATCGAACACGATAATATTCCACAATTATTAAAAAATACACAGGAAAAAATGTTAGAAACACATAATGAAAACAGAAAAGAAAAACAATATCACGTAGGACAAGTTGTTTATGAGAAGAAATATGGAGAAAGAAATAAACTTAAACCAAGATATAAGAAGCAAATAGTTAAAGATGTTATGCCTAATAAAATAATAATCAACAGTAGAAACAGAATTATTCACAAAGATAATATTAAGCATTAATAAATTATTTTTTTTAACTTACAGAAAATGTATTCTTTAATACATATTTTATCAATTATAATATTGGCCAGTTCAGAAATAATTGATTACTCGAACCATGAATTTTTTCTGTTCAAAGACAACAAGGATGTACTTACGTATGAATCTTACAACGATTTATTCCACGTAACTAATTTAAGTTTTTATAAGGAAATAATTAATATAGAATCAGATAATATAAAAAAGGATTTAAATAAAAGGTCACAATGGGAAATAAAGTACGACTTAGAAGTAATCGAGTTAATCTTATCCCAGTTAATATCAGCTAGAACAAAAAGAGGAATAAATGAGTTAGGCACCGTGTGGAAATGGTTAGCTGGAACTCCGGACCATGATGATTTCATTAAAGTACAAAATAAAATCAATGACTTAATTGAAAATAATAATAAACAGTCTATTATTAATTCCAAATTGTTCAAAGAAATAGAATCTCTCTCTGAAGATTTTAAAAATGTTTTTATTGATCAAGATTTACCACTAAGAAAACATCGCTACGATTGATAACATTTGATCTACAAAATTTAATTGATACTATCACCCTTGCAAAAATTGACGTTTTCAACACTAAAATTTTAAATAATGAAGATATAAAAGAAATATTAAAACACGAGCAAAAGCCAGTAATTATCGCTGACTTAATGGACATCTCTGTGTTCAAAATCGCATTACATAAAGAACTTTTAATAATTTATATAAAATACCCAATAATAAATAATAGATGCGAATTATATTACACTCGACCCATTTCCCAAATCGATGGAAAATTATTAATAAGTAATCAAGTCGCAAAATGCGAAAATACATATTATGAAATGTCTACATTTAAGAAAGAACTCTTTAATAACTATTGCACTCTAAGTTTAGAAAAAACATGTTTTACCCGACTATTAAACGGTGAACAATCAATTTGTAAAAAAATAAGAGAAAAAAATAAAAAAATAGACATTATCCAAGATGGTGCCATTTTAATAAATGGTAACAACATCGTCAACAACTCCGAATTAGGTGGTTCATTCTTAATAACATTTAACGGTACAACCACAATAAATAACGTTTCATATACCAATTTAGACAACAAAATTCTTAACTATATTACTACAAACCACTTCAAAAATTATGAAATATCCGATTATATATTTTCAAATAACTCGGAACTCTCTTTAGATAATATAAATATTTTAAATCCATTCATTAAAATGAATAATACCAAAATATCTATATCCTTTATGTTGTTAATTTTAATCATTATATATTTGATTTCTCTACCTATTATTAAATACAGACATATATTTGTAACCAAAAAACAACGGCCAGAATTAGAAAAACCTATTAACGAAGAAATATTTTTAACAGAATTAAGAGATCGTTTAAACGAAATCCATAATGAATCGGGACGATCCATTTTAGAAGGGGCAGAGTTATCCAACCCGTGAAACGGTTCCACTTATGGAACTAATAAACAAATTTTTAAATTCAATTATCCAACGGTTCCACTTATGGGATTAATAAACAAATTTTTAAATTCAATCTGAGCTACATTGCCTTTGCCTTTATTTATGATTCTGCCTTCGCCTTTTTCATTAACTTCGAAGGCCGCGCTTGACCGTTCTGCTAAGATAAATAAACCTATAGTAAAGTAAACAACAGCTTCCGTTCGAAGCCAAACTCTCACGTTCAAAGACAAAAGTATTGCGTTCCAATTTTTAATCAAAATTGCATCGGTCAGCATAATTGAATTTCACAACGAGATGCGACAGTTTCAGCATAAGCTTTTATTTTAAACAAAAATCAAAGTTCTAGAAGCTTAAAAAAGAAAAGCTTATGACCGAGGTTCGTTGGAGAAGATTTTAGAATTAAGGAGTCAGTCTTATTCGGATTGAAACCGGGATCGGTCATAAGAAATAATAATAAGTGAAAGTGTCTTGATGTAATAAAGAGTTAGTGAATTAAGGTCTTCACCAATAAAGTGAAATTAAAAAATAAAATTTATATTTTTTTTAATCAACCAATACGATCAAATTTAATTCGCACACATACGCAATTATTCGTGCAATTCTTTTTTTTAGATTTTTACGCTCTCAACTTTGTGCGAGCAGAGAGAGCGGAATTTTCGTCGCCACCAAAAAACAAGCTGCATATTGCAAAACCAATGTATGGGCGTTAAGCATTTTAGAGATTATATTGGTCTTTGGTTCAGGACATGAAAAAAGGCATTTAAGCCATACTCGACCACCTAACATCCGATCTTCGTCAAGACAGCCTTATGGAAAGATGTTTAGATGGTTACAGGCAAAACGCAAACGAAAGTTTTAATTCTACCGTTTGGCGTTTTTCTCCTAAACACATCCACAGTGGAGCAAAGATTGTCTCAATTGCTGCATATGTCGCTGCATCGACATTCAATGCAAATTTGGATGATAATAAGCAAATTGGGTATCGAAATTGGCAACCAAGCCCACAATTTTGCTACCGCGCAGGACGACAAAAGAGTCAATAGACAGGACTAAAGCTATAGCAGCTCAAAAAAAGCAAGAACGGTCGTAGAATGGACATGTTGGCCCAAAACTAATTCTACGAGGAAGCGGAAGGGATACTTAATGGAGCTGGAATCGCTGATTAAGGTAAGACCTTAATTACCTTTTAATCAACCTTTCTTTCTTTTTTTGATTGATAAAGCTGTATTGAACCGATCGGGCTTTGTGACGGCTCATTTAATAGATCATTAAATTAATTTGAATTTGAAAAGATGAAAAAAAAATGAATTTCGACCTTGTATTGAAAAGGGTAATTGTCATATGGACTCTATCACAAAATTAAAAAAAAAACTTGGTTTTTTTGTTTCAGGCCACAATTAAGGACGTTACAGTGTACACAATGGAGACACTCCTTAGGCGAGACGATATAAATGCGGCACCCCTTTACACAGTAAAAGTATTCCTTTTGTTTTACAAAAATTCCGTACACTTTTTATACCCTTGCACTATGGGGAATTTGCCCGATTTTTTGGAATAAATTAAAACCTCGCGAACTATGTAACATATTTCAGTGAGGTTTTTTGCTTATTTGCTTATGCAAAACTTCCAGCAGGGCTGCGTTTTTGATCAAGAGATTGGTTTCTAAAAAATGAAATTACGCGAAAAGTCGCACGAAGCGCACGATGAGACAATATGTTCTGAATTCGCAATTAATGGCTCTACAACATAGATATAGACACTCACTGAACAAAGTTAAACATTTTTTTAAAACTCTATTGAAAGTTTAACTTTCTTTCCAAAACCCAAACGAAAACATTACCTGCTACATTTACAAATTTTAAAAATTGGACGCACATATTAAGCAATATATGTATTTTTACACAGAACATACCTTGAGAATTGGTAATCATTTCAAATTTGACTGTCTTACGACATTTTGTTGCAGAGATAATGATTTGAAAATGAGCTTCATAGTTAAAGCCTAGTATCCTGATCGACGAAAACCGTACGCCAGTCATGAGAGAGAGCGAGAGGCAAACAGCTGGCGTTCACTTTTCGTCGGGCCTTTTTTTCACGTCGGTCTCCTGATCGACAAAAAAAATACCAGAAAATTCCATAGCGTTGCCAGTCTGCGGAAATTAACTTTGGGTGAACCCTAGCGGAAAAGATTAAAAAATTTAATCTTTTGGCGTGCGCTTCTCACTGAACATTATAAGAAATGGAGGGAAAAACTCAAAAAACTCACAAAATTCGATTGCAGGTGTTTACATGTGAGGACAAAATAACATTAATACTATCTGTGGTGCCTCTTGTCAAAGCAAAATGTTTTTTAGGTCCAGAATGTACGAAAAAACACAATAAAAGTGCAGCTATGAACTTAAATTAGCAAATAATTATCAGTAAATTAAAAAAAACAACTGTTAAATTTAAATTGTATTGTTTTTTAATTTCTTTGTACAGCTGCAGACTTGTCTTGCCAAGGTATTTGATAATATCTCTAAAGGCTCTTTCCCGCAAATACGATATTTGAATTTTAACTGCTTGTCAACAAACCCAGCTGATTGACAGTACGACCGTAGCACGCTTAAATCTGATGAACTCTCAAACTTTTGGTCACACTGGAAAGATTAAAGTTTTTACGCTCGCGTAATCGTTTGTCGATCTGGATACTAGGCTTAAGCAAAATGTAAACAAACCATGTGCGCTTGCAACAGCTGACTTTAACAGTTGGTATTTAAATACTAGACTTTTAAGTTAACATTTGCGGTATGTTACCAAACAGCTTGATGTTTTCTTAATACATTAAAACAAAAAAATTGAAAATCGGCATACTTTTAAAAAATACATTTATTCCACAAAATCGGGCAAATTCCCCATAGTGCCTTGCAGAGGGTATTATAATTTTGGTCAAAAGTGTGCAACGCAGTGACGGAGACATCTCCGATCCTATAAAGTACATATATATATTCTTGATCAAGATCGCGTCCTGAGTTGATATAAGCATGTCCGTCTGTCCGCCTGTCCGTCTGTCTGTACGTCTGTCTGTCCGCATGTCCGCATGTCTGTCCGCCTGTCTGTTTCTACGCGAACTAGGGTCTTAGTTTTAAAGATATCGAATATTAAACTTGAACGGCCGGGATCAACCGACTATATCCTATCGTAGCCATATAACTGATTGATCGGAAATGCCCTAACTTTGGTGTTTGTAAAGTTGGGATTTTCTAAATGCCATAACTTTGGTGTTTTTAATGTTAGAAAGTTGGCATTTTTATGGGTATAAAAAATGCATCATATGAATAATTTTGGAGAATATAATTTACAGAATATTCTGCATGGGTACATATATCAACTTTGGCTCCGCCCGAAGTTAGCTTTCCTTTCTTGTTATATATGTGTTAAATTGCCATAAAAATTTAAAACTGTTTTCACTGATTAACCCGAGAAAAAAATCATAAAAATGACGCATTTTTCGACCGCGTAAAGGAAGTAACCCCCTTAATTAACTGCGTTACACTGTACTGCGGACAAATTTCAAGTCAGTAAAGCCTAGTATCCAGATCGACGAAAACCGTACGCCAGTCATTAGAGAGAGCGAGAGGCAAACAGCTGGCGTTCACTTTTCGTCGGGCCTTTTTTTCACGTCGGTCCCCTGATCGACGAAAAAAATACCAGAAAATTCCATAGCGTTGCCAGTCTGCGGAAATTAACATTGGGTGAACCCTTGCGAAAAGATTAAAAAATGTAATCTTTTGGCGAGCGCTTCTCACTGAACATTATAAGAAATGGAGGGAAAACTCAAAAAACTTACAAAAGTCGATTGCAGGTGTTTACGTGTGAGGAAAAAATAACATTAATACTATCTGGGGTGCCTCTTGTCAGAGCAAAATGTTTTTTAGGTCCAGAATGTACGAAAAAACACAATAAAAGTGCAGCTATGAACTTTAAATTAGCAAATAATTATCAGTAAATTAAAATAACTACTGTTAAATTTAAATTGTATTGTTTTTTAATTTCTTTGTACACCGGCAGACTTGTCTTGCCAAGGTATTTGATAATATCTTTTAAAAGCTCTTTCCCGAAAATACGATATTTGAATTTTAACTGCTTGTCAACAAACCCAGCTGATTGACAGTACGACCGTAGCACGCTTAAATCTGATAAACTCTCGAAACTTTGGTCACACTGGAAAGATTAAAGTTTTTACGCTCGCGTAATCGTTTGTCGATCTGGATACTAGGCGTATGGAGACATCGATGTTTTCGATGTTTTTCACCCAAAACATCGATGAAATATCGATGTTTTAAAAAATTAAAATAATATTTTTTAAATTATTAAAATGCACACTTGTGGTTGTATTAAAAATAGAAAAACAAAACATTTATTCACTTGGTTTAGAAAACGGAGATCATTTCATAAAATTTAGTAAAACATTTTTTAAAAAATGTGATTTTTGTTTATGAACATAAGTTTATCAACAATATCAGGCTTTAGGCGCGTCCTGCGGTCAGAAATAATTGGCCCCGACCTGGTAAAGGCTCTTTCTGACTCGCAGGAAATGGCAGGGACACATATAAATTTTTTTGCCACATCTTTGAAGGGCGCCATACTGTTCGACGACTCCTGAAAGCATAATTAACTACTAAAAATAATGACTTAAAACAATTTAGAAACGTACCTTCCAATACTTCAACGGCACGCACACTACGGCCTCATTCGTAGTCTCTAAATGCTGCCTGAGCATAACTATTGCTTCGGAGCGCGCCGTGGTATTTTTTGCTTGCAATTTTGCTTGCAAGCAAGTGAAATAGTCCGAAGATTTAATCTGGCTTGGTACGTACCTTTTTTTTTTTTTACGTACCTTTCCTTTGCCTTTTTCTTTTGATAGTGACGGCACAGAAACATCGATGGTTGAAAAAAAACATCAATGATTTAGCAAATTTCAAAAACATCGATGCATCGATGTTGCGGCACCTCTAGTAAGCACGTCCTCGGTCTTTTCATTCCAGTGTTGGAAAGTCCCAGTAGATATTCCAAAAATAAAATCTATTACGTCGTAAATCTTGGACAATCAGCTGATCCTAGAACCGTTTTTTGCTGGTATAAGTAGGGTAAACTGGTTGGCCGATGCGTTGACTATCGCGCATGTGTGTTTCTGGGGCAAGCGTTATATCCATATTATGAGCGCTGGGGAATAATCGAAGCTCTTCAAAGCCTCTTATTAATAAAGGAGCGGTCTATAATCCGATTTTTATACTTTTGCAGAGACATCTCCGACCCTATAAAGTATTTATATTCTTGATCAGGATCCCCTCCTGAGTTGATATAGCCATGTCCGTCTGTCCGTCTGTATATTTCTACGCAAACTAGTCTCTCAGTTTTAAAGCTATCGAATTTAAACTTTGTACACACCCTTCTTTCCTTTTGCACGCAGTATATATGTCGGAACGGCCGGGATCGGGCAACTATGTCCTATAGCTGCCATATAACTGATTGATCGGAAATGCCATAACTTTGGTGTTTGTAAAGTTAGGAAGTTGGAATTTTCTACGGGTTTTATATTTGGCCAATCAATCCGACCTACCAAATTTCATAAGGATCGGCCGACTATATCTTATAGCTGACATATAACTGATTGATCGGAAGTGCCATAACTTTGGTGTTTGTAAAGTTAGGATTTTCTATGGGTTTTATATTTGGCCAATCAATCCGACCTACCAAATTTCATAAGGATCGGCCGACTATATCCTATAGCCGCCATATAACTGATTGATCGGAAATGCCATAACTTTGGTGTTTGTTAAGTTAGGAAGTTGGCATTTTCTATGGGTTTTATTTTTGCCCAATCAATCCGACCTACCAAACTTCATAAGGATCGGCGGACTATATCCTATAGCTGCCATATAACTGAACGATTGGAAATGCCATAACTTTGGTGTTTTTAAAGTTAGGAACTTGGGATTTTTTATGAGTATTAAGAATGCATCATATGAATAATTTTGGAGAATATAATTTACAGAGTATTCTGCAAGGGTTTATCAACTTCGGCTCCGCCCGAAGTTAGCTTTCCTTTCTTGTTAAGATTGGTTTAGTCATTTCGGCATTCGTGAAATAAGAACCTGGGCCAGTTCTCTGAAAGTTTTTTGGCCTCTATATTTTCCTGTATTGGCGTAAACGGTTAGTACATTCAGGAATTGATGGCACGAATGGATTGTCTAGTGCCATGAATTTGTGGCGGCCAGGTTATGCCATCTGGCATCACTGAGTTTTAGAATTTAAGATTTATCCAGAATATATTATGGTCACTCTCTACCAAATCCGACGCTACGAAAGCCCACAAAAGAGAACACTAAATATATAATATTTCATCAAGTTAAGGGATACAAAAATAAATTATAGTTTAAACTTAACGTTCTTTATATTTAATCAAACGCAAGATTTTACCTTGGTTGTTTAGCCAACCATAACTGGTGACCCCGACAATTCGAACATCTGCAATAAAAGCGAACGAATTCCAGTTTTACGCAGAACCTCAACCTAACTTAAGACAATGCAGGACAACGAAGATTTTGTCGACGCGCAGGAGCCATTGCAAATTCCTGATGCGAATGTTGTTAACTCGGTATTTGCTAAAATGCCCTTCCCTCAACTGCATTCCATCACCAACATCGAAATGTTTTTCACCAAACTGGAGAGCTGGTTCATGCTGCAAGGCCTCGGTACACGGAAAGAGCAAGAGAAATAAGCAGCAGTAATCGCGTACGCTGATCCCAAATACCTGGATCAAGTGCACGATTTTGTCAACAACCCACCACAAACGAATCCGTACTCCACTCTTAAACAAGCCATTTTGTCCAAATTTGCAGAATCAGAGATGGTGCGTCTCGAAAGACTTGCGACAGAAATTCAACTCGGCGACGGTCGTCCAAGTCATCTACTCAGTCAATTGCAGCAAACTAACGCCACCAATGATGAATCGGTTGTGCTGTATCACAGCAAAACACCAACCATGCTTTACAGGAGGATCGCATCACACAATTAAGTAAACGCCTGGACGACAATGACAAGATTTTGCAGCAGATCAACAACAAGCTAAGTCACCTGCTTGGCACCACAAATCAGCAACGAAGTCGGAGCTACAATCGATCGCCCAGCAACAACAATTACCGGAGCAACACACCCTCCAGGGACAATTCTAACCCTCAATTTTGCTGGTACCACAACAAGTACGCGGACAGTGCCCAACGTTGCATCCAACCGTGCTCTTTCCATGCCAACAACAGTTCAAAAAACTAAGCACCACCGTTGGAAATCAACAGGGCAGCTCCGACGGTCGTGACGCAAATGCCCCACAACGCTACCCATTGCTCAAAGTAAACATCTGCAGAATTTCGTCGTCCAATCGTCTCTTCGTTCCAGACTCCAAATCGGGTAAAAGTTTTCTTATCGACACTGGAGCTGACGTATCTGTTATACCACCCAGCACAATTAATCAACACATCGCGGTCACTAATGAACATACACTATTTGCAGCCAATGGAACAGCAATAAAAACTTATGGCACCACTCGCCTTACGCTGGATCTCGGTTTACGTCGCCCTTTCACATGGATTTTTACCATAGCCGATACCAAAATCCCAATCATTGGTTCAGACTTCTTGCAACACTTTGATCTACTGGTTGACCTCAAAACCTCAAAGTTAGTCGATGTCGAAACACGCCTATCATGCTGCGGTATATTTAGCCAACAATCGAATTCGGAGATAAGGAAATATAATATTCACTGCGAATTCTCCAAAGTACTGGAAGAATTTAAAGACATCACGCAGCTCAACTCATGTCCTTCTCAAGCAACAACCACCAACGTCACGCATTGCATCGAAACCAAAGGATCTCCACCATTCACCAGGCCAAGAAGGCCAGAAAATTCCAAGCAGCAAAAAGTGAGTTCCAGTATTTAATCATCCTTGGTGTTTGCCGTCCGTCAAAAAGCCCTTACGCTTCCCCGGTACACATGGTCCGTAAGGCTACTGGTGAATGGCGTTCATGTGGTGATTACCGAGCTCTCAACGACCAAACCACCCCAGATCGGTATCCCTTACCGCACATCCAAGACTGCACTCACATATTTTACGGGAAACACGTTTTTTCAAAGATCGATCTAAGCCGAGCATATCATCAAATCCCCATCGAGGCTCGGGACATTCCCAAAACGGCAATAACTACTCCTTTCGGTTTATTCGAATTCACCCACATGACTTTCGAGTTGTGCAATGCGGCACAAACATTCCAACGATATATGCATTCCGCACTGGCAGAGATGGATTTTGTCTTCGTTTACGTCGATGACATTGCGGTTGCATCAGTCAATATGGAGCAACACCAACTTCACCTCCGCCAAGTCTTTGAACGACTACGACAATTCAACCTCACTATTAATCCAGCCAAGTGCAGCTTCGGAAAGAAGTCGATCGATTTCTTAGGCCATCACTTTGATCCAAACGGCATCAAACCACTGCCAGAAAAAGTTAAAGCCATCTCGGATTTCCCTCTGCCCAAAGTCAAAGATTAATTTTTACAAGCGTTTCTTGCCAAATGCAATTCAACACCAAGCACCTCTAAGCCAACTTATCCCTGGAAATAAGAAGAAGGATTTAACTCCAATCACTTGGACTGACGCAACCATCAAAAATTTCGATGAATGTAAACGAAACCTTGCAGAGGCAACATTACTTGTCCACCCAGCACCGGCTGCGCAACTGTCTCTCTGTACAGATGAAAGCGATTTCGCTGTGCAGTGCTTCATCAAGTCGTCGATAATCGGTTCAAACCAATGGGATTTTTCAGCGTAAAACTATCAGAAACGGAACGCAAGTATAGCACATATGATCGAAAGCTGCTCGCTATATACCTCAGCATCAGACACTTTCGCGACATGCTAGAAGGAAGAACATTTGATATTCGTACAGACCATAAACCTTTGATATACGCTTTCTCGCAGAAACCGGAAAAATCCTCTCCAAGACAACTCAGACATTTGGATTTCATTAGCCAATTCACCACCTCTATAGTTCATATAGCCGGCATTGACAACACTACCGCCAATACTCTTTCTCGCATCTCAACCATCGAACGCGAAATGATCGACTACAAGCAACTAAGCATCGCACAAGCAAATTGCAAAGAGCTAAAGCGGCTAAAGTCAATCAGCATTCCGATCTGTCCACATCCAGCGTGCGACCTTTCGTTCCAGAGCCACTAAGGAAGAGCGTCATTAGCAAACTACATAACATCTCTCACAGTGGAATTGGATCAACAATAAAACTCATCAAACAAAGTTTCGTATGGTCCTCAATGCACAAGGATATTGCTTAATTCGTGAAACACTGCGTTCCTTCCCAAAAATCGAAGATTTCCCGACATGTTCGCTCGCCGCTACAACACTTCACGCTTCCTAGTAAAAGATTCGACCATATCAATTTGGACCTTATCGGACCATTACCCCAATCAGGTCAATATAGATACTGCTTAGCAATCATTGACCGTTATACACGTTGGCCGGAAGCCATCGCAATCGAGGACATGCACGCTAACACGGTAGCCTCAGCACTTAACGGTTCGTGGATCTCAAGATTTGGAGTTCCTGCTCGCATCACAACAGACCAAGGAAGACAGTTCGAGTCCAAATTGTTCCATGAATTGTCAGGAATGCTAGGATTAGATCACCTTCGCACAACAGCATATCACCCGCAAGCAAATGGAATCATCGAACGCTGGCACAGAACAGTAAAGGCAGCCATCATGTGCAAAAATCGCGTAAATTGGCCACAGAAACTTCCAATGATCCTGCTCGGGTTGCTATCAGCATTTAAGCCAGACATCCAAACAACATCAGCACAACTTGTGTACGGCACAGCCCTTCGCCTTCCAGGAGAATTTTTTCATCAAGAGTCTAATTTCCAACCGCAAACTGATTTCGCAAAGGAATTGGAGGAATTATGCGAGAAATACGGCCAATACAGACGGCGCATCACGACACATCTAAACCTTTCGTTTTTAAAGAGCAGGAACTCGCAACTGACGTCTTTCCACGCAACGACACTGTCCGTGGATCCCTTCAGCCACCTTACGATGGACCCTTTGAAGTGAAGGAAAAACAGTCCAAATATTTTACCATAAACACCGGCGCCCGATGCATTAAAGTATCTATTGACCGACTCAAGCCAGCCTTAATAGAGGTTCAACAGCCTACACCTTCATCCCAAAATCCATACGGAGACTCCAGAACCAGGACTGAAGACATCGCGGCGACCCCTGCGGTTAACCAACCTTCAAGACCTCGTCGTACAATTAGACTCCCTGTTCGTTTTAGAACATAAAGTCTAGGAGGGAGTACTGTGGCGGTCAGGTTTTGCCATCTGGCATCTCTGAAAAACTTCCCTGACTTTTAGAATTTAAGATTTATCCAGAATATATTATGGTCACTCTCTACCAAAACCGACGCTACGAAAGCCCACAAAAGAGAACACAAAATGTATAATATTTCATCAAGTTAACGGTTACAAAAATAAATTATAGTTTAAACTTAACGTTTTTTATATTTAATCAAACGCAAGATTGTACCTTTGTTGTTTAGCCAACCATAAATTTGTTGCTGAGACTAGAGTCAGATGGTGAGCTTGCAACACTTTGCAGAGTAGTATGAGTCCTTGCTTGGATCTTGTTGTATCTATCCACGAGAGGAGCGGCGAGCGGTTGTTTTTTTAACAGGATAATAAGTCATCGGGCGTCTAGGCCTCAAGTTTAGTTTCTTATTTTTTTCTGCTCTGACAGGGCAGCCTTTGTCTGTCGAGGTGAGTACGGAGCCTGACATTTGGGGAAAAATATTATCTGGACGCAGTAGTTTTTAGAATGCCCAAAAATTTTACATCCTTGACATTGTAATTTTCTACGGGAAGCACGTTCAACAGTGACTTTGTATCTACCAAATTGTGTTATTGTTAGAGACTGCAATTTTAGGGTCTTGCTTAAGGTTGATATAGAATTCATTTTGCCTAGTTATTTAATTAATTGTAGCTTCATTATCTTCCTTATTGAACTTTATTTTCTTCCAGTCTGCATTTTTGGGGCAACATGTATTTAGTACCACAAAGCCGTGGTCACTAAATAATTGTTCTTTCTCTGATTTGGAAACTTTAGCTTGGATTCCTTTGAGAACTATTCTGTAGGGTTTTTCTTCCTTAAGTGGCATTATGATAGAAAAAAGGAAGGAGGAAAGTAAGAAGAGGAACAGGAAGTAAAGGTGGTGTGGGGAATGCCTGTTCAATGCTATTTCCCATTTTTTATGACTATTAGTTAGTGAATATTTAACTTAGTTTTTACTCTTTCACTAATAAACGAATACCAAATAAATTAATAAATTAAATCTGCACTACCTGTAATGACCGGTAATCCGGACCTATTTTATTTTCATCAGACAGATCAGATGTATCGACGTCCCTGGTGGAACCACATCGCCACTAACACCTTCGGGTACAGAGTCAATTTGAAATACTATTTTAGCGGCGACTGCATTTGGCTGCATTGTTGCGATTCAAAGATCTGACTAATATAACACTGGTGATTTAACTTTTATAACAATGCTTTTTGTGAGCCGCCTTATAGATATCGTCGATGTCATTAAGACCCAGGCCAGAATAACAAAGCATTATCACTAAATGGGAAGGAACACTTTGTGAAATACAAATCTGAAGCTCCAGAACTTTAATTTTATTAAACCAATAAAATTTTAAAATTAGCAAAAGTATGTTTGATATAGAGCAGTTTTCTAGTACTTATTTTTTTTAGTATTAGTTGCGGTACATGTGACCATTCAACCCTTTTATCATTTATTTAATGCTTATTTATTATGGAAACATTTTGTAGAAAAATTTGTTTAGTAACTATAAGTTGAACTGTCCAAAATCCGTCCTTAAATGGCTCTTGTTTAGTTTTATTTTTAGCCAAGTTTTCCTTTTAGCTTTTCCCAAAAGGAGGGCTCTGCGGTTGTTTCTACCTGAACCTGCTAAAAGAGATAATTAAGTTAGTATTTTGGCAACTATTGCTAATTAACCGCTCACTTTTGACTGTTGTTGCGGGAGCACGTTTTTGCTTTTGGGTAAATATTGATCTTCGATCGCAGCTTGGTGCTGCCCCAGATCCTCCAACTGCTGGTTCCAGTAAGGCTCCTCAACCTGCTTCTGCTGCCCAAGATCGTCCAGTTTTTCCACCCATTCCACCTCCTCCACCTGCTGCTGTTGGCCGAGATCCTCTACATGTTGTAACGGTTCATCTCCAGCAGACCGATTCCACTTCCCTATGGTTACGGAGGCACTGGCTGGGGCTCCGGTGGCTCCTCCGCTAGCGGAGGCCGAGGACGAGGCTGTCTCTACTGGCACGTGGAAAGTGTAGTCCTGACGCTGGTACTCGTACCCCCCAACTGGCCCACCCTTGTTGTAGGGAACCGGCGTGCTCACATTGGGGGAGGCATGTAAAGGTCGAGAACGGGTCATCTCGACCTCCAGACCCGGTTCGTCACCCTCAACAAAGGTCTCCTCGTAAGTGTGCGGCGGCTGGTCACCGCGGTCTTTGGAGAATATTGGTTTGTAGACAGCAGTGGCGTTGGTGCTTCCTAAATCTATCACGTACCCACCGCCGTTGTCCGACGGAAGGTCAATAAGTCCCTGACTAAGTAGGAAAAGGGTTCTGCGCCAGGTGACCAACTCTTCTCCGAGTTTACCGTATCGATTCTGTAAACGGCTTAGGGACCACTGGTGCCGTTTCTCCCAATTTTGAATATCGGCGGTAGACATTAGAATGCGATGGTTCTCGGAGGCCAGATGGAGCAGTTCGCCCTCTCGAAATTGTTGCAGGTCGCTATTAGACATGCCGTAGTATCGAGCCAACTGGTTGATGCGCCCTAGCTCCTGCTTTTGCCAGTCCTTGAGCTGCTGCTCCGAGATTTTGTATCTCTGTGAGAAGTCTTGCAGTAAGCGGGAGTCCTGGGTCTGCCAGCTTATTAGCTCTGCCTGCGTCATGTTTTGGTTGCCGATGAATTCGTAAAGGCGGTCTCGCTCCCGCTGCTGCCAAGAGCTTAGATGATTTAGGCGGCGCTGCTCCAGCACCTGCTCGAGCGACATTTTTCTGATAAAGATGCGTTGCACTGGCGCCAACTGATCCAGACCCACTTGATAGAGCTGGGCCATTTGCTTCTGAAAGCTCGTGTCATGTGAGATAAACTCGAGGAGCTCCTGCTCTGTTATTACAACGCTAGCTGCCACTTTTCGCAGGCGGGTTCTCTCCTGATCGTGCCAGTTGGTGGCCTGCTGTTCGTTGTCCTCAATTAAACCCAAGTTCGAGAAACGACGCAGCTTATCCTGAATGAATAGTTGCAGCTCTTCGATATTGACTTGGTACTGAGGGGCTAAGAGGTGGACATCACGCAATAGTAGATTTTCTAGAAGCTGACGACTCTTTCCCGTATTTTTGACGGTCGAGTAGATCCGTTTTAATTCAACAGCCTGCCACGAGAGGCCTGGACCGCGGTCGATTCTGCGCTGCTGTAACTGTCTATTAAGCTCGTTCTTGTACCACGCCTTCAGCTCCTCCACAGTCACATGATACTGGGCAACGGCGTCCTGCACGTGCTTCTGATCGTTTTCCAGAAGGAGTTCCAGCTCCTCGATGGTCCACCTCTGCTGCTTGCGCTGTTGCTGGTTGATCAGATTTTCGATGTGTAACCGTTCCTTATCTTGCCACGGAGAAGTGACAAGGCCCTCATTACTGGCGCTATTTTGCAGCCAAAAGTGAATATCTTCGATAGTCACGTGGTACTGACGTGCGATCTGCTCAAATATTGGTTTGTTTCGGATCAAGTAGCTCTCAAACTCTTGCCGAGAGAAGGGTCGCTGGAGGGTAACGCTTCGAAGACGGACCAGTAGTTCGTTTTTCCAGGAGGCAGACCGGTCGCCAACCCATATATTGCTGATATCCTCGTATTTGACGTTGTCCTGCGGACGATCGATTACTCCGATGATCGAAAGTCGAGCGGCTTCCCTTTGAACCTGTTTATAAAAAGATTTTGAGTTGATTTTAATTTTAAATGTACCATTGCCTGCCAAAACAGACCAAAGTTACCTTTGCTTCATAACCTTCAACAATTTAAAATTTATTAATTTTAAATTTTTCAAGAATATTCTTTTATTTAATTATACCCGTTACTCGTAGAGTAAAAGGGTATATTGTATTCGTGCAAAAGTATGTAACAGGTAGAAGGAAGCGTTTCCGACCCTATAAAGAAACTATAACAACTAGAGGATTGGCATTTCGCATGTAGATTTTAGGAGTTCCTACGCAGCGCAAGTTTGTTTCAAAATGGTGCCACGCCCCCTCTGACCCCCACAAGCCACAAGCTGTGGCCACAGTTTTGATGAAATTATGAAAATGTTAATTGATATGTATTTGTTTCGTCAATACCTATCGATTGACCTAATAAAAGTTTGCAACGCCCACTCTAACGCCCAAAAACCCATTAAACGCTTAAGCCTGGCTAGCGCCTACATTTCCGTCTTTCATGGTGCCATCTAACGGATGACTTTGGATCAGCTGGCCAAGGTGCTCAACAGAGTCCACGTTAATTCTCGATAAGGATTTCTATTAAAGGAAATTGCGATGGTTTTCATTTGTCAATACCGAACTATATCCCAAGAACTATGCAAATCAAATCTAGTTAGCCACATTGGAGGTCTGAGTCAAACAATGGCGTATGTGTGTATGTATGTAAGCATATACATATGTATGTATTTACATTGTACACAGTTGCAATTGCCCGGCAAAGATAACTCCTTTCAAAGAAAGCTATTCGCTATACCCGTTACTCGTGTTGTGCAAACATTTAGACTTTAATATACATAATACTATTTAAGAATGTATGTGTTTAGCCAATATAAGTATGTATGTTCTTGGTCTGAGGAACTTGTGAGATGGTTCTGAAGCCGCCTAGCTGGGCGCGACCGAGCGGGTCGCAGGTTGCGGATAGCGGACGACCGCACTCGAGGCCAACTGCGAATAAGCTGGCGGTGGAAATCAAACACGGAATCGTGGACGGAAACCCCAGCAAATAAGCAGTCCCGGACAACCAGCGGGTATCTTGCAACGAGGCAGTACCGACGATGCGATTTGTTCAGCCGCATCTAAACAGTTGCTTTACACAAACCCAATATCCCCCATACACACCTACCCACTTCCTCTCCCAAACAACATCTCACTCCGGGCCGGACTACGGTGTAATTCGGACCGTGCCAAGAGTCAGCCTGGCTGGGGGCCCGGATCAACAACTAGCTCAGTCTCAAACGGTGGGCTCAGGGAGATGGCGACCCCCTGTTCTATCTATCGCCTTACCCGGGTAACGCGGATCTCTGCCCGGGCGGACCTTTCCCCTTCTCCGCAGCTCGTGGGACCAACTATGGAAGCAACAAATAAAAACACAAACAAAAAAACGAAGACGGGAACTCCACAAAAACCCGGCGCTGCAAAGACGAACGATGGTTCCACTGCAAGCACCAGTAGGGCTCAGAAAGGGCCCCATCCCAAACTAGGGATGTCGGGGGACAGAAAGACTGTCGCTAACGCCTCTGCTATGTGCGCATCTGCGCCAAAACCAGCGGTAGGCGCAGCAAAGTCGATCGGGTCACCCGCTGGTGCAAAGAAGTTTACATACGCAGAGAGACGGACTGCCGCCCAAACCCTGCGCTCGCATGCCAGAAGCACTGTCGCCACGCCTTCGCCCGAATGGCTCAAGAAGGTAGAGTGGGCAAGGAGAAGAAGGTGCTCAGGCGAAGAGGCAACGTTCCATAGAGCTGCCCGGTTCGTCGGCGAAGAGATCGAAGATCCAGCCGTCGGTCTCCTTTGCCGAGATCACCAAAGATCGGGTCCTACTTGGGCTCATAGATAGGGGAAATCCGGAGAACAGGATCCCCAGAAGTAAATGGAAGGCGGTTGAGTCCAAGCTGTCTCTCATTTGCCTGCGTATGGTACGCGAGAAGCCCGGTTCAGCGCCTTGCTGTATGGACGCGGGCTGGTACCAGGGCAGCGTAAAAGTGGTGGCCTGCGATAATCAGCGATCAGCTGACCTATATAAACAGGTGGTAGCTCAGCTCGGTGCAGTCTACGTAGGGGCGAACATAGTCGCACTAGATTGGTGTGACGTCCCCAGTAGACCGCGAGCCAGAATTTGGCTCCCAGCAGCAATCGCATCACCGGAGGACATCCTCTATATGTTGCAAGAATGCAACCCACATCTCCCCACAAAAGACTGGAAAGTCGTTAAGGTGGAGGAGCACGTAGGTGACGTGAACCAAGCGATCGTGGTACTAAATAAGGAGTCGGTCGCTCCCATAGAGGCTGCTCGGGGAACGCTCAACTATGGGTTCAGTGCCATACATATCAAGATATATAAAGGGGACTCTAATTCCTCGGGAAGTCCTGCCGGCAACCCAGCTGAGCAGGTGCTTGCGGAGGAAGTGGAGGCCCCTGGTGTGCCGGAGGACGGCTATTCAACCGACTCGTCGCTGAGCAGAGAGATGCGAGCGATGGGACCGGCAATCGACGAAGTGGACCTGAGCGATTCGGAGGCCGACGTTACTGTGGTGGAGGTTGCAGCTGGGGATGTCGCTAAGACTCCTGCAGATCAACCTACATCACAGTAAAGCAGCGTCAACTGCTCTTTTGCTTCGCCTGGCCAAAGGCGAAGCCGACGTGGTCTTAGTTCAGGAACCCTGGCTAGCAGGAGGCAGGGTTGCTGGACTAGGAACAAAAGACTACAAGCTTATGCTTGACCCCAAACAAGGTAAAATTCGAACCTGCATTTTAGCCAAACGGCATCTTAGTACATTTCTGCTTCGCAACTACAGCAACGGAGACAACACAGCAATAAGCCTGGAGCTGCAAAGCGGCTCTTTTAGGATGCTATCGGCCTACATGGCTTTTGAAAAGGTAGACCCCCCAGACGCGCTAGTCAGAGGACTGGTACAGGAATGTGAAGAGCTTAAGAAAGGTTTGGTGATAGGATGCGATGCAAATGCCCACCATACTCAGTGGGGCTGCCCTATCAACAACGACAGAGGTGAGTCTTTATTTGATTTCATACTTAATTCGAACTTATTTCTTTGTAATAGGGGCAATACCCCTACTTTTATAACAAAAACGTGCCAAACGATCATAGATCTAACCCTGGCATCAGATTCACTCATAAGCACAGTCACAAACTGGGCTGTCTCCGACGAGCACTCATTTTCAGATCATAGGTTTATAGAGACAACTTTGTCCCTAGTGTCACCTGCGCCGGTCAGCTTTGCCAACTCCAGGCGGGAAAACTGGAATAAATACAAAGAAATTCTATCGAACTTCCTCCCCAGGGAGCCACCAGAAAGCACTCTTTGCACTCAGGAGCTAGATAATATAGTAAACAAATTCACGGAAGCATGCAACGCGGCATTCTCAGCTGCATGCCCGTTAGGGAAACCAAGAGGTAGGAAAAAACCTCCTTGGTGGACCCAGCAATTATCAATCCTCAGAGCCAAATGCAGAAACCTGTTCAACAGAGCGAAAGCTGCAAATGAGGACATAAACTGGCAAAGCTACAAAAAGGAACTAGCCACATACAAAAAGGCCATCAGAAAAGAGAAGAGAACTGCGTGGCAGAACTTCTGCTCGGATATTGAAAAGACAACTGATGCCGCAAGGCTCAGAAAAATACTTTCTAAGACAGCCGTATCCCTGGGCTATCTCCAAAAGGCTGACGGATCATGGTCGGACTCTAGTGAAGAATCCCTAAACCTACTCCTAGGCGCTCACTTCGCAGGGAGCCTGCAAACAGGACATCCCCCAGGAAGACACACTGGAGAAGGAATAAACTTAAATCTCCTACTATCAGACCGTAATATAAACTGGTCCATTCATAGTTTTAAGCCATACAAATCGCCGGGACCGGACAATATAACACCGGCACATATTTAGCAAGCAGGAGAACTAGCTATAAACTGGCTGAGAAAAATCTTCCAGACCATTCTTGCAGTAGGAGAACTACCTACAGCATGGCGGGAAACGAAAGTCGTTTTCATCCCTAAGGCAGGGAAAGCCACCCATACTACAGCGAAGGATTTCAGACCGATAAGTCTGACTTCATTCCTGCTAAAAATCCTAGAAAGACTGTTAGGTCTACATATTAGAGACATCATTGACCCGACGCAGATATCAGAGGCGCAACACGCATACACCAAAGGTAAGTCGACCGAATCGGCGCTACACTTGGTAGTAAGCAACATCGAGAAATCACTCAGTATACAGGAATACACCTTGATCGCCTTCCTTGACATAGAAGGAGCTTTCAACAACGTGCTCCCCACGGCAATAACAGAATCCCTCACTGAACTAGGGGTTGAGCCACCGCTGGTGGGGCTGATCCACAAATTGCTGATAAGCAGACTGGTCACGGCCACACTAGGGACCTCGACCCAGACTAGATTAGTGAACAGAGGCACTCCGCAAGGAGGTGTACTATCACCCCTCTTATGGAATATCGCGGTAAATAAACTACTGCGGATTCTTGAAGGAGGAGGCTGTAAAATAGTGGCATACGTAGACGATGTCGCTATCATCTTTAATGGTAGGTATCCACAAACGTTATGCGATCTTATGAACGCAAAACTAAAAACACTATCGAAATGGACTACAAAGGGGTAAATCCCTCAAAAACGGAACTAGTCCTTTTTACAAATAGATACAAAATCCCAAAACTTAACCCACCCACTTTAAACAACTGTAATCTCTCTTTTAGCAAGCACGCAAGATAATTGGGGTTACTATTAGATAAGCGTCTTAAATGGGGCTTAAACAATCAAGAGAGAACCAAGAAAGCGACCATTGCACTTTACTCTTATAAAAAAGCAATCGGGCTAAGATGGGGTATGTCCCCTAAAATCGTCAATTGGATATACATAGCGGTAGTCAAGCCAATCCTACTATATGGAGTGGCTCTGTGGTGGACCGCTTTACACAAACAATGTATCCTAACTCCACTTAACAAAGTACAGCGCATGGCCGCCTTGTGTATTAGTGGAGCCCTTCGAACTACCCCAAACGAAGCGCTGAATGCGATCTTGAACCTCCAGAGCCTGGACTTAGCAGGAATGGAAAGGGCGAAATCGGCAGCCATTCGACTAAGGGATACAGGGCAATGGAAAGCCCAACTGTATGGTCACGCTAAGATTCTTCAGCATGACAAATTGATCCCGCTAAAAACGGATCTATGTAAAATCAGTGAATACAATCACACGCCCTTCGAAGTTTGGGATCGTGGCCGACCGGGCTCAATAGACGCAATCTGTTTATATACAGACGGCTCCAAACTAGACGGACACGTAGGTGGAGGCATATACTCCGAGCAATTAGAGATCAGGCGGTCTTTCAGACTTCCTGACCACTGCAGTGTCTTCCAAGCGGAAGTGTATGCTATAATGGAAGCACTTGTCTGTTTAAGGGACTTAAACACCCAGAACAGACACATAAACATATATAGTGATAGCCAAGCGGCAATTAAATTAATCTACTCGAGAAATACAAACTCCCGAACAATAGCAGACTGTCGCAAATCTCTCCACGAGATGGCTAGTCAGTTTACTGTCAGCCTTATATGGGTTCCGGGTCACCGGGATATCGTAGGCAACTGTATAGCAGACCAGCTAGCCAGGAAAGGCACCACCATTCCTCTCCTTCCAGGAAAGGAGAATGTCGGCATGCCTATGGCTACTTGCAAGCTAATTATTAAAAACCATTTCAGCAAATTAGCCAACACCTATTGGCAAAACACACCGCAATGCCGAATCTCTCACCAGACATGGCCTGTAATAAACAATAAGAAAACATCAGAACTACTCAATTTCAGCCGCACTGAGTGCGGCATGCTAATTCGAGTACTCACAGGCCACTGGCTCGTTGGCGCACACGCCGGCAGGCTAAAAGCCCCAAAAAACGATTTTTGTAGAAGCTGCAGGGATGAGGAAGAAGAGGAAACGGTGGAACACCTACTCTGTTCATGCCCAGCCCTATGCAGGCTTAGACTGAAACACTTAGGATATCCTTTCATAAATGACCTGACCGAAATATCGCAGACTAACCTGAAGAGTATAAGCTCTTTTATTAAATCCTCCGGATGGGGGACTTGCTGATCGACCAACCTACAGGCTGACTCTTAACGGATAGGGGTCCCAAAAATAGAGATCATACGGTATCACAATGGACCCACAGAGGTCTAAGTGTACCAGGCTACAGTCTGGCAGCCGTCCTAACCTAACCTAACCTAAGTATGTATGTTTAATATTTCTAGTCAATTTATTGCACTCAAAAACATAAACATAAACACAACTGCTGGTGCAGGACAAAAGCTGCCTGTGCTAAAGCAGTGCTGGTGCTGATGCTCGTGCTGTAAAGCTGCCAGCACTAAGAGATCGCCGAATTCAAATTGATAATTTGAACTTTTTGTCCTTTTTTCCTGTGGTCACTATCATTCACATTATGTTAAAAAAAAAAAAACAAAAAAAAAACTCAAGCAGGCATATTTATATTAAGTTGTGTAGCTGAGTAACGGGTATCTAATAGTCGAAGCACTCGACTATATAGTTCTCTCTTGTTTTAAAATAATATTATAGTGAATTTATTCTTGAAATGCGTACTTTGAAATATTGTGTCAAGGCCCTTTCGGCGCATTTGTGTGTTCAGCTAACTTTAGATTTTTCAAATGGAAAAAGTTAACGCTTTAATTGTTTGATATCTTAAAAAGTCAGCATTTTAAAGAAAACCGAAAATCTAATTGGTTTTTTATAAAGTGTTAGGAACAACCTTTATTTAGTTTAATCAGCCTAATCAAAAACAAAATCCGGCATACATAATTACATCGAGAATTACATAAGTGTTTTTGTCTATACCATGTCCCTAAGATATTTTGAGACTTACAGGCTACAGATGAAAGACATGAACAGAACAGAAGGACATATGGGCTTCGAGATGTATGACAGCCTCTCGGCCCCAACCACAATTGGCATGAACCAATCAGTGTATACTTCATTGATGCCACCAAATCCGTCTCTGATTTTAATTGGTTCTAATGAAGAAACAAATATTTGTTTTTCTCTTCAAGACAGAACCAAAGCCGATAGGAAGAATGTAAAGGTGAAAAAGTTTGAGTATTCTTACGCTAGGGACATTTCATCTTTCAAGATAACTGTACCAAACGAGTTTTTTGAAGCCATATGCTCTTGCGACTTTTGGGCGTAATAGGGTTTTTGATTGTAACAGAGTTTGAAGCTAAGATAAATATGAAGGGAGTAGGAGTAAAACTATTTAGTAGAGTCCAAGCCAATGTACCATCTTAATTGGAGTGGATTCAAACCTTACGTCAAAAGAGTTTTTTTTTGAGGAATTCAAAAGTTATCGCTCCCTGGTAACACTGTAAATCACTTACTTCTTGTTCGAAAACTTGACCGTTTGTGGTTTCCAGTTCATCACCTTATAAGCATCTTAAGTTATCTAAGTTTTAGTTCACAAAGATCAAAAATATGTATACTTTTTCTTTAGGGTGCCTAAACTAGAATGCAAATCTTATCTTTTGTTCTAGTAGAATATTGTTCATTAATTTACCCTCATTAGCCAACGATCCCTTGCGGGACACCGGAGGTAACACGGAGAATTTCAAAAATTGAATTTTTTAAAATGTCAAGTTTCTGAACAAGAAGTAAGTGATTTACATAGTCAAACGCTTTACTAAAGTCAGTGTAAATGACGTATTTTTGAAAACTACTATTGAAGGCCTTTATCACAAATATAGTAAGCTCCAGAAGGTTAGTGACTGTGGATCTGTTGACATGGAGAAATAATTGATCTACAAAGGTGCAGCAAATGAGGAGTGATGACTTTTTCAAGAAGCTTAGGAATAGCTGACAACTTAGATATACCTGAATAGTTACTGGATTCTAACTTGTTACCTTTTTTGTAAAGAGGAATAACAAATGATTTATTCCAAATATGTGGAAATTGGGAAGTTTCTAGAGATAAGGTAAATAACGTGTGAAGAGTTTGCACAGGGCCTTAGCGCACTACTTAAGCACGCACCCAGGAATACCATTGGGCCCTGTCGAATAAACAGGCTTATCACGAAAAAGATCCAAAGTGGGACAGAATATGAGGTTCGACTTGAATATGGTGTAAGAATAAGGCTGCGATAAATGATCTAAAGGTGTACACGATAACTGGTCACAGAATCATCTGCTTTGAAAAAATCAAATTACATTAGTTAAAGGACAAGATTCCTCAGGTAACGCTGTCTAGTTTTTTTTGTCAAAAACCCCGATTTTCGCCCAAAACGTCGACATATTTGTTGCTCTAAAAATAATAAATTTTGAAAAAAAACTCGACAGCGTTACCTGAGGAATTTAGTTGAGAAATACTGTGTAAAATCTTAAAACGATCCGTCCGATAGATTTTGCAGGATCGTGTACACCGACTTTGAAATGGCCACTTTTCAGGAGAGCGTTTTAAAGTTTTGGAAACCCAAAAATCGAATACAAAACGAGTTAACTAACCTACGTTCAACTGCCCATAACTTCGGAAGTTTTACTCGGATCGATCTAAAATTTCAACACAATATTCTCCAGATGTTGTGCATTCAGAAAAAAATTTAAAAAAAGGAAAAAACAAAATTTAATACTATACCCCCCTTAAATATCTTGCAAAAACAGATTGATAACCGGCATTTTTATATTTCCTGAAAAGTCTGGACTTTACATTTCTTAAGTGTGTCAACTTTTTGCTAAACCAAGATGATTTATTCGAGATTGAAAAATAAGTTTATTGCAGTGTAAAAAACATTAACTGCATTGTACATATTATTGCATAAAAAAGATCAGACCAATTAAAGCCAGAAATAAAATTATTTAGCCTCAGAAAGTCTGCCTTGCGAACACAATGTTGATTTTTCTGATTTTACTTCTATAACTGTACCCGTGTCAATTGTAAGTTCGATTGTAGGACGATATGGATCTTCAGGTTGCGTGAGTGGTGCAACTCTGGACAGAAACACACCTTCAGGATTTGATACAAAACACAAATGAAGTAGATGACTTAGTGAATTTCGAACATGGTTTACTTGAGATAACAATATGTCAAGCCGTCAGTTAAATCATATAGTGCTATAGGTAGAAAGACATTCGATCCGTCCTCACTGGACCAAGTAACTCCAGGTATATTAAAATCTCCTAGAACTACCAACTGATCCCTATCGGAAAGCTTATTTGCAACAGACTATCGGAAAGGTTATTTATGGGGGTATGGTTAATTTGGTCAAAAAAATACCAATTTTCATAAAATTTTCACACGATACGGTGAATGTCAGATCATTATTTCAATTATCATTTCAATCAATTATTTTATAAGCATATCAAAATACAATATTTATGCTTTGTTTACACAAATTATCATCGAAAAAAAAAAGAGCCGTTTGCTGCCAAGCTCCGAAGGCGCCTCCACGAAAAAAGGTTTTGCAGTGAACAGCATAACTCGTTACTGGATCATCAAAAAAAAATTGTTTATTAATTAAGACGTTTCTAAAGGTAACTACGTTGAGTTTTTTTTGTTCAATTTTTAGATTTTTGGTAACACTTTAAAGTCAAAAACGTGATTTTATCCGAAAAATTCGATATATTAGTTATCATAAAATGAAAAAAAATTGTTAAATAATTAGAAAGTCTAGACAACGGCGGAATATATAAGTAAGTTAAGTATATAAAGTTACCAGGAAGCGATAACTTTAAAATTCAAGGGTCATGAGTTCCTCAAAAAATAACTCCTTTGACGAGCGGTTTGAATCAACTCCAATTAAAACTCCACCTCCCCGTCAAGATTGATAGTCATACCTATAAAATACCGATAAAGTCGAGAACCCCTTAACTAGGATCATATATATTGTAGATAGGTAAAAAATACGAATCCTTTGTGTCGTCGAATCTTACCCACATCTCCACCTGTTCGATAGTCACATGATAGTCGGAGGCGATGCCGTTCAGGCGCTGCTTGTCTCGCTTGAGGAAATCAACAAACTCCTGGTAGCTAGCGCCGTTGCGCTGCTGCTGCAGCCAGTCGTTGAATCCATTGCTGATTTTCTGCTGCCACTGGGTCTGCTGTTCGAACTGAACGAGGCCGGAGCTTTGTAAGCGCCGCAGTTCCTCCCGCATCCATTGGTCGACCTGGTTGATGCCAACGTGGTGCGTATGAGAGAGGCTTTGCAGCCGGGCGTGATCCTGGGTCAGCTCCCGCTCCACCTGCTCGTATGGCATTTCTTGCTGCTTCTTTAGCAACAGTTCTATTAGACGCTGCTGCTCATCTACCTGCCACTTGCTTAAATTCTCCACCTTTGCCTGACCCGTGGTGCGGAGGTTGATCAGCTGATGTCGAAGCCACCGCTCGATATCAACAACGTTGACTGAATACTGGTTAGCCAGTTTTTGCAGCCGCTCACGCTCCTGGTTTAGCTCCATCTCGAACTCCACAAAAGTCAGGTGGTTCTGCTCTTTAACCAGATTCTGCAGGCGCTCCAGCTCGGACACCTGCCAGGCGCTAAGGCTCTTCAGGGATTCTTCTGTAGTGCCCCTCAAGCGTTTTAATTCGGCAATCATCCACTCCTCGATCTGTTCCACGTTCAGGCGGTACTGATCGGCTAGGTGCTTTAGATGAGCGCGATCTGCCAGAAGTTTTTCCTCGTACTCCGCTGTAGTCAACGCGTTTTTGTGTTCAGCAATTAAGCCCTTAATGTAGTCGCGCTCAACTCTCTGCCATGTTTGCAGTTGCTCGATTTCAAACTGACCGTTTTTGCGTAAGTCTTCGATCACCTGCTTCACATAATTCTCTACTTCTACAATATGCACGTGGTGTTGGTCAGCGAGCTTTATTAGAAAACGGCGATCGTTGTTTACCTGGAATAACAAAGAAGTCAAATTTGTAGGTACATTGTTTTTAAAATACCATATAAAAACAAGAATGAACACCATAGTCGAGTTCCCAGTTCAGGATAGCTAAGAATGGATATCTCTCATTTAAACAATGGACTTACCGGTAATGCGTTAAATCCTCCATTTTACAATCAAGTTTATTTTTTTCCCAATAAAAAATATAAAAATATGTTGTACAAAATTTAGAAACGTATATCTATATATATATAAAAAATGTGCAGAAAATCAAGTTTCGGTTAAATTGCAAACCAAAAAAAGAAAGATAGCTATCTTGGGCATGTCAAAATTTGTATACCCTTGCAGACTCTATATGAAAATATAATGTTCAAGCAAAAAAACCGACTCGAACGAACAATTAACTTTTCGATCTCTGGCATATATTTCTGATTTGGTAAATAACGACTACATTTTGAAGCCTGGGCGTATATTTATAGTAGTGTGGTAGTTTATATATTTTATTGATTTACTTGATTTACTATTTTATATTAAAATACTTTTAAAATAATTAATTTGTAGTGTTGTGTATATATTGGTGATGCATTAATAAATCCGTGTTGACACGGATAAATGATTGATCTGCAAAGGTGCTGCAAATGAGGAGTAATAATTTTTTCAAAAAGCTTAGGAATAGCTGACAACTTAGAAATACCTCTGTAGTTACTGGCTTCTAACTTGTTACCTTTTTTGAAAAGAGGAATAACAAATGATTTCTTCCAAATATTTGGGAATTGGGAGGTTTCTAGAGATAAGGTAAACAACTTGTGAAGCGGTTTGCACAGGGCCTTAGCGCAATACCTAAGCATACCATCGGGCCCTGGCGAACGAACAGGCTTAACACGAAGAAGATCCAAAAGAAGAGAGCTTTCTGTTAAAGTGGGACAGAATATGAGGTTAGACTTGGATATGGTGTTAGATTAAGGCTGAGATAAATAATCTAAAGTAGAGTAAGTTGTTTGAAAAAATTGGGCAAATAAATCGGCTATTGCCTGATCTGTGGTTCTCGTCATGTTTTCGAACGACAGCGAGGAAGGAAAAGAATTAGATTTACGCTTGGTGTTAACGAAATGATAGAACTGGACCTTACAACGGTTTAAGTAACTATTATAACACTGAGCATTAAGCACGGTAAATCTTGACCGAGCACTTAAATATCTAGTAAAAACAGATTGAGAACCGGTATTTTTATATTTCCTAAAAGGTCTGGACTTTACATTTCTTAAGTGTGTCAACTCTTTGCTAAACCAAGGCGATTTATTGGAAATTGACGGATAGTACCACGGAACACAGGAATTAAAAAATGAGTTTGTTGCAGTGTAAAAAACATTAACTGCATCGGACATATTATTGCATAAGTAAAGATCAGACCAATTAAAGCCAGAAATAAAATTATTTAGCCTCAGAAAGTCTGCCTTGCGAAAACAATGTATTCGTTTGGATTTTTCTGATTTTTCTTCTATAACTCTACCCGTATCAAATGAAAGTTCGATTGTAGGGTGATATGGATCTTCAGGTTGCGTGAGTGGTGCTACTCTGGACAGAATCACACCTTCAGGATTTGATACAAAACACAAATCAAGTAGGCGACCTAATGAATTTCGAACATGGTTTACTTGAGATAGAGATATGTCAAGCAGGCCGTCAATAAAATCATGCTGTGCTATAGGTAGTAAGACTTTCGATCCATCCTCAGTGGACCAAGTAACTCCAGGTATATTTAAATCACCTAGAACTACCAACTGATCCCTATCGGAAAGCTTATTTGCTACGGACTTAATAACGGATAGGTGATTTAAATAATCAGGAAGTTCAGACAACGGCGGAAAATATAAGCAAGTTATGTATATAAAGTTATCAGGAAGCGATAACTTTACACAAATAAATTCAATGGTATTGAATTCATCAAAAAATAACTCCTCAGACGGGAGGTTTGAATCAACTCCAATTAAGACTCCACCTCCCCGTCTAGAGGGACGATCATACCTATATACCTTTTTTGAAATTGGTACACTGGTTTGGCCTCGACTAGGAAGTTTTACTCCCACGGACCCCTTCTTCTTTATCTTAGCCTCGAACTCTTTTACAACCATATTATCCGGCCAAAAGTCGCCCGAGCATATGGCTTCAAAAAGCTCGTTAGGGACAGTTATCTTGAAAGATAAAATGTCTCTAGCATAAGAAAACTTAAACTTTTCAACCTTTACACTATTACAATCGGCTTTAGTTTTGTCTTGTATATAAGACAATACATCAGAAGATGTTTGATCAGGGGAAAGCCGAGAAACGAAAGGGATTTTGGTGGAGCAGACATTGTTTCTGCAAAACCAACTTGAGCCGGTTGTCCGGACTCAGTCCCTTGTGGTGGTGATGCTACATTCTGAGAGATAGGTGGATCCACTAATTGTGAAACCACTACGGACAAATCGAAATTCTTAGAAGTCCCTGGTTGCATGCATTCTGTTTCGGATTGTTCGGATACCGAATCTTTTTTAGCTGCTGACATTTGAGGGTTTGCTGAAATCAGCTGCTGATCCGCCGGAATGCTCTGTTGTTCTTTTGATTTCGGTTGCGGGGTGTTCCCCTTTTGCTCCTTATCACCAGCGGCCTTTTTGCGCTTAGGGGACTCTTCTAATAGCTTACGGCCATTAAACTGCGAGTGCAGCGCAGAGAGGAGATCATCAGCTCGGCTAAAACTATCTCTAGCAACTCCGAAACAGCTAATCAGCCCCATCAGGCCGCCTTTAGTTTGGCGCATGAACGATTTCATCTCGTTCGCAGCCTCGACACAAGCGTCACAACAAAACTGCAAATTGGGCCCCTTTGAAAGGTCATCACTTGTCCGGCCAGTAAAATCGGACTAAATTTTTATTATTCATTTTATTTATTGGAACCACTGTACCAAAAAAACGAATTGAAATTTATAAGCGAGCAGTTATAAGTACCGTAAGAGCGTAGAAACTGCACGCTTAAAACTTTCAAAGCAAAGTGAGCAAGAGAGCGGGAGCGTAAATTAGTTAAAGTGAATGCACAAAAGAGAAACGGCGGGGATATAAGAAAAGAAAACACAGATAAGAATTACGAAATCTAAAACAATTTATTAGTATTATTACAAGTGCACTCGCGAAGCGAACGGAGTTTAAATTTATGTTTGAATAACCGGAAGAAAATTAAAATATTACTCAAGTATAAATTTTATCTTGTCGCATGGACTTTCAAATCTGATTTTTACGTATACGACCTCTTAACAGTCAGAGTAGTCAATCTTCTAACAACGAATGGAATCATTTTAACAAATCTCTTTAAAATCTAAAGCAGAAATATTATCATACTTTATATCAAATTTTCTTTTAAAGGGATTCAAAGGTGGTGCTGCAATTGTTACAAATACACGCGAATAGGCTATCGGAACTAAGACAGAACTGGAAGCATACATGAAACCATGTCAAAATCCTCGAGAATCCTTGCCAAAAACACCAGACATATTGTTATCTCCAATTTCAACATTCAGCGCTGATTCCAAAGGACCATTTTTTTCTCAGCACTGGAGTAGATTTTTGCGTTATCTATGCAGCCATCTTTGTATGTTTAGCATCAAAGGCGATTCATAAAGAACTGGTACTGGAAATATCTACAAACAGGGTAAATAAACTTCGGCTTGCCGAAGTTTTCTTCCCTTCTTGTTAATCAATGATTTTAATATATGAAAACCATAATTAAATTTAATTACTAAATATATTTACCACTGCACTGAGATGACCTAACATGGTTTACTAGAACTTGAGATAAAAAACAAAATGAGCATGCAAAAAAAAGGTCTATTTGGCTTTAAAAAAAATGGTAAACAATTTCAGTAAAGTTTTCCAAACTTTCATATATGGAGTAAATTGTCGATTTAATTTTTTGGCCAGTTCTAAAGAGCTCTTATCATATATTAAACAAAACATTGTACTTTAAGATAAACGATTTGTAAAAAACGTTCTGTTATTCTTATAAACGTAAATAAATGTCTGCCGCACAAGAAATAAAGCCTACAAACGCTAACGGCACTTAGTTTGTTTCGAGTAGAAAAGTTCGATTTATGAAAATTCGAAAAGCTTTACTCCACGGTAAAAAAAATAGGCGTGACCTTTTTTTGGAATGAGCTTGCGCTGCGTAGAACTCATTAGGAAATTTATAATTAATAACATAATTTAAATCTCTAGATACATATTAATGAATTCCATAACTCTACCTTTTAAAAAATACAAAAATTAAGTATGTAAAATGAAATTCAGTATTAGAACCATATGTTCCTCTTATTATAATCTGCTAAAAATATATTTTTTTTTGGATCTTAGAGTACCTTTTTTCTAAAATCTTACAAACTTTTTTACATAACATTTAACACAAGAATGATAATGAACAGAATCTCACCTTAGCTTGGAACTGCTCCAATGTTATGTTGGAGTGTTGGTGGAGTAGCGAGAGGATTCGCTGCTGCTCAGTACGCTGCCAGGCAGTCAGTTGCTCAATGTTGAGTTTTCCCTGCTGCTTCAGTCGCTCGATTTCAGTATGAAGCCACTTCTCGATCTCCTCGACTGAGGTGTGGTACTGGAATGCCATTGTCTGCATGTGTTCACGATCCTTCTCCAGCTCAGCTCTGAGCTCCTCGGCGCTCCATTGTTTGTTCTGCTTAATGAGGGTTTCTAGACGCTCGCGCTCCGCTAGCTGCCAAGAGGTAAGGTTGTCTATCTGAAGTTGACCCTCATCACGCATTCGTGCCAGCTCCTGCTTCATCCAGTTCTCGATCTCCTCTACCTGGACGCTGTACTGGCGGGCTAGGCCCTCAAGGAGTTCACGATCCTGCTTTAGGCGGGCCTCCAGTTGCTCAGTGGACTTGTACTGCTGCTGAGCCAGGTTCTTTAGGTGCAGCCGCTCTACCTCCTGCCAATTGGTCAGCTTCTCACTTGGCTTTAACAGACCCATTCCGATGAAGCGCTGCTCCTCCTTCTTAACAAATTGTTCAATTTCCTCGATCTGCACGTTGTGCTGCATGGCCAGGCTCTGTAACTGGGAGCGATCCTTAAGAAGCCACTTGTGGAACTCTTCGACGGTGAAGTCGCGGTCCTGCACCATGTTGGTGAGATTGCCGCGCCACTCCAGCTGCCAGTTCTTCAACTTCTGCATCTCAATCAGTCCTTGGTCCTGCAACTTTTGGATCTGCTGCTTAATCCACCGCTCGATCTCCTCTACGTGCACCTGGTGCTGTTGGGCCAAGCTATAGAGGTGAGTCTGGTCCTTTCCAATCTTTAACTCAATCTCTTCGATGGACAGATTATTCTTATTGATAAGGTCTAAAAGGCGCTGGCGCTCGATCTTCTGCCAGTTGTTCAGCTGTGACTCCATCCTCAGCTGTCCCTCGTGTTGGAGTCGATCGCCCTCCGACTTGATCCATTGCTCTATCTCAGATACCTTTACATTATAGGTGTTGGAGAGTTCTTGCAACCGGGTTCGATCAGTTAACATCTTGCGCTCAAACTCGTCAAGCGAGTATTTATTCTGCTGAACCAGCAACGAGATCTGGGCGCGCTCATTCTGCTGCCAGTCTTTCAGAGTTTCCGCTTTGACCAGTCCCTCACTCTGCAAACGCAAGAGCTCTTTCTTTAGCCAGTCCTGAATGTCCTCGACGCTGATCTTGTACTTGTCGGCCAGCTTAAAGAAGTGATCCTGATCGTTCTTGATCTTAGTCTCCAACTCATCCACGGTCAACGAATTGTGTTGCACAATGGCCTGAAGACGCTCCCGTTCTTTTTGCTGCCAACTCTTCAACTCTCGCTCCACCTCCTTTAGCAAACCTTCTGACTGCAACTTTTTCAGCTCGCTTTTGATCCACTGTTCGATCTCCTCCACCCTGACCTTATAGATGCGCCCCATTTCCTCTAGATGACTGCGGTCGTTGATGATGGAGTTCTGGAACTCCTCAATGGTCAGTTGGTTTTGACCCACGATATCGCGCAGGTTCGTGCTTACGCTGGCCTGCCAGTCCTTGATGTGATCTTCAAGTTGCTGCTGTCCTCGCACTTGAAGGCGCTGCAGTTCTTCGTACTGCCACTTCTCCAGCTCCTCAACGGTCACTTGATACTTCGTTGCCAAATTCTGCAGATAGTTTTGATCTCGGTTCATCCGTTGCTGCATTTCCCCCACAGAGCCGCGGTGTTGCTGAAGAATGTTTTCCAGGCGGTTTCGTTCCGAGCTCTGCCAAGCAGTGATCTTGGTAACCTGTTCATTTTGATCCTTAATAAGTCCTCCAATTCGGGCCACCTCACCGCGGAGCCACTGCGTCTGGCTTTGCATATCACCCTGATACTTGATTGAAAGGTTCTTCAGTCGCTGTTGGTCGGTTTTGATGGAGTTTTGGAGAGCGGCGATCGTGGCGTTGTGCTGTCGAATTAGTTCTACCAGGCGCTGTTGCTCCATAGTGTTTTCTTCGGATAGGGAACTGGAGGTGGGGAAGGTGGTCTGCGTCACTGATGGCACCTGCGGCAATAGCGATTCATTCACCTGGTTCAGGTAGACGTAAAAGCGTTGCAGCTCCTCGCGCTGCCACTGCAGTAATTGGTTTTGACTGATGCCGTGCTGTTGTGCCGTCTGGGCAAGCTTGCGTTCGTTCTCATTCTGCCAGCGGTTTATATCCTGTGTCGTAAAGCCGTTTTGGTGAATCAACCAGTCTAAACGACTGCGCTCCTGCCTCTGCCATACGCTTTTGTCTTGAACCTGCGGCTGGTATTGCACCTGAAGAGCCTGGTAGCGTTCCAGTTCATGGCGGTGGAAATCCTTTAGCATGGGCAAACTTATCTGATAGCGCTGAGCAACGCCCAGAAGGCGTTCCTCTTGTTGCTGTTGCCAGTCGTCAAGTCCTTGCGGCGTGGTCAGATACCAAAATAGCCTCTCACGCTCCTCACGCTTCCACTCCTCGTCTCGCGGAATTTTTAAATGACCAAAGGGCTGTTGCTTATCGAACACTAATTTGCCGTCCTGCCAGCGCTGCTGCGACTCGGAACCACCTATGGAACTAGTTCCGTCCAGATTCATTGTAATAGTTTTGTTAAAGTTGTGTATTTCCACGGTCGAGCTGGCCCCTGGCGACGCAGAAGCCATCTGGTTAAAGGCGTTGTTCTCCAACTTACCGTCCACGTTAACCACCGAGTTATATCCGACCACGCTTGGCTCCATGTTCTCCCTTACCCAGTTTTGGATGGTCTTCTTTCGCGTAATCGTGGTTGTAGTGCTGCTAAGGGGAAGCGATGTCTGGTCAGGTCGGAGGATCTCCTGGTTTAGTTGGGCCGAGCTTCCGTATCCCGACAACCTCGTGGCCTCCGTGCAGTTACGGTGCACCACGTAGGTCTTGCCGCCGATAACCTTCACCTCGGCGGGATATGCGAAGTTTTTCACCTCGTCGAATCCACTTAAGTCCACGGGTTGAAAAGGACCAAGGCCCACTGTCTGTTGCAGGCTAGCGCTTTCGCCTCCAGCGTAACGTTCAAGCAGCTCTGCGGCCTTCGCTTCAAAGAAGTTGGGCTGCGCTATGGTACTATAGATAGTAATGCCTTCACGCATGTCCGCCACCAGCTGCTGACTGATTTCTGAACTCAGGACGTCCAGTTGGGCGGGGCTCCTTCCGGTCAATTCTAAAATAGAAGCTAAAAAACAGGATCCGTTAAAGATTGGGTTCAAATTGTGTATCCGGTTTTCTAATGCCGTTAAAAAGGAATGCCACTCTCAAAGATTTGTTATTTAGTTTGAAAAATTGTTATTAAGACTGAAAAATTGATATAAGAAAATAGTCATTTTTAATTGCATACAATTTAGTAAGAAGTCAATATATTTAAAACTAAATTGTTAGCAATTGTCAACAAGAAAGCTCATGTTGTTCCTGTGGCCCAATTCCATATGAATTCTTTCTACTTTCTGTTCAAACCTTATTACTCTTTTACTCGGCAAGTAACAAGAACTGGGAAACATTTAGGAACATTGATTTTACTTGCAACCAACTATTAAAAATGATAAAAGTGACCCAGTCGCACAGTGCCGGGACAGAAACATAAAACAGTTTTAAAAATTACATTTTTTGTTGAGCTTTTATAAATAAACTTTGTACTCAGCAGCGAAATTAGTTCAATACAGATCTTTGGTAAACACAGAACAACATTCTGTTTCATTGCACTTTTTTGGACTCACACATCAACGGATACCCACACTCGCATAACTAGCGAATTTTGGACCTGCACAAGGGCAGGTTGCCTTCACTGTCGGGTTGCACAGGAGCAAGACCATTCATTTGGCGACCGTGACAGGACACCTGCAGTCTTGGATTGTACTGGAATTGGAGGATCACGAGGGATCCGTCGACAACAGAACCTCTGCAGATTGGACATCAATTGGATGCACATAACCTCACATCGGGTAGCTACACAGTAAGAAACAACCCGAACCGTAAGCTAAACCAACCACAAAAAGTCATTATAAACCAGAATTATTTGGAAAATAAAAGCAAAAGGCCCTTTCATTGTGTTGAAAATTTTGCAAGTGCAGTGAGCAAATTCTAACCTGGTTAAAGCTTTCACTCAATGTTTACTTGGTAAAGCTAAGCTTTTGGAAAGTAGTTCAAGAAAGTTAGTGTTAACATTTCACTCAACGGCTTTAAAACTGTATCCACAATCGGTGTAATCTGCACATCACCTGAGTTTGTGTTTGTTTTCTGCTAATATATTAATCTATCCCACAAGATGACAAAACCGCCAGTAGAGGAGCAGCTGGTGTGTCTCAGGCGCAAGCGCAAAGAACGAGCTTTGTCTGCTACTGTCATCGATGCCAGCACGGCGGCGTGCAGAGTGCAAATGTTAGAGTCCCACTATAGGCAATTGGCTCAAATTCAGCTGCAAATCGAGGAATTGGATCCAACGGAGAATTCTAGCGACTCTGATGAAAAGGATAGCTTCGAATAGGCCGCAGCGGTCTGATGAGTTAAGCGTCACAAACTCCAAGTTCTTAGGTAGCGGAAACCACAGCATAAGGCATATCTACTTAGTTGCTTATCTGGTCCAGCGTTAAGAGTTGTGTCAGCCTTTCAAGTTTCAGATGCCAACTACCAAAAGGCTCTAAATCAGTTACAAGAGCGTTACGATAAGAAAGTATTTATTCTCATTGAGCATGTCACCAGTTTTTTCGGCATTTCTCACATGAAGAAGGCTGACCCGTGCTCTCTTCGCCAAATTTTAGATACTGTCTCAGCACTTCTTGGCTCGCTTCTTTCTTTTGGCACTGAGAAAGACATTCTTAGTGCAATAATCATTCATCTCGTCCTGCAGAAAGTTGATTCTGATTCTAAACAAGCATACGACAGAGCCCAGGTGTATGAAAATCTTCCGAATTGGGAAGATTGTTATAATATTATATTATGAGCAGACATTGTCAATTTTTAGAGTGTCATCTAAAATCTCCAGTTGAAGGTAAACTGTATGAGAAACGTTTTGAAAAACCCAGTTATTCTCGAAAGGCATTTATAGCTGCCAAACGGAGTTGTTTTAAATGCAATTCAACTGATCATAGCCTAGGATCATGTCCATTATTCATTTCACTCTCATTCGAAAATCGTCATAGCTGGGCAAAGCAAGCTACTTTATGCTTAAATTGCTTACATAAAGGTCACATTGCAGCAGATTGTCCTTCGAAATTTCGTTTCAGGACATGCCACGGATTACATCATTCCTCTTTGCATCGCCCAGCCGATCCCAAGACAGCGATTGAGAAAGGTGAAGAGCAAGACGATTCACAAGCCAGCTCATGAACCCAGGTGTTTGCTGGACTTACACGCAACTCAAAACGCTCGCTTATCCCAACAGCGCTCATCCTAATTAAGGACAAGTATGGCGTGTTTCACTCTGCTAGAGCTCTGCTAGACTCAGGGTCAGAAGTAAATTTTATGACAGAAACTCTAGCGAAGACCCTTCAGATACCATTTAAGCGAAAGAATTTTGAGGTATCGGGAATTGGGAACCTTCGGTCTCGGTTATCAGCTGATGAGTGGCCGCTGCAATTTTCAATTACGAAATCTATAGCTCAGCAGCAGCCAGAGCGCTGCATAGATACATCGCAATGGTCGATCCCTGAAGACATCGATTTGGCCGACCCACAATTCTTTAAGCCTCACAAGATTGATATTTTGATCAGTACGCAGGAGTTTTTTGATTTGCTGACTGGTCAGAAGGTATCGTTAGGATGGGCTTACAACCAGGCGCAAAGACGCACACATTTTCTTGCAATGGTTTTAAGACCCAGGATCTTAACGATGCCCTTGCACGGTTTTGGAAAATCGAATCATTTGAGGAGACTAGCAAAAATAGGTTTACGCTTAAAGAAGAAGAGTGCATTCAACATTTCTTTAAGCACGCTGTTATTCTTGACTCCGGTCGAATTCAAGTCCGTTTGCCATTTGCGCGATCCCCAACTAGTCTCGGAAGTGCGGTGGAAAATGCCAGACGGCGTTTTCTTCAGCGTGAACGGCGATTAGGACGCCTGCCTAAACAAAAGAAAATGTACACCAAGTTTATGCAAGAATACATGGATCTTGGCCACATGGAACTCGCATCTGATTTTAATATTAACCAACCTCATTATGTCATACCGCACCATCCAGTGTTGCGGCCACAAAGCTCAACAACTAAACTGCGAGTTGTTTTCCATGCCTCCGCAAAAACGACATCGAATTTGTCTCTGAACGACATTCTAATGGTTGGACCCACGATCCAACAAAATCTGATTCTAACTCTGCTGGCATTCAGACTACACAAATTCGTTTTCACAGCCGACATAACTAAAATGTATCGGCAATTCATGATTGATTCTAAAGACCGTAATTTCCAGCTCATTTTTTGGAGAGATTAGATTGATCAGCCCCTACAGCTATTTCGATTAAATATTGTAGCGATTCAAAGTCTTAACTTTATCGCCAAGAGATACGAAAACGAATTCCCAATTGGATCTCATACTTTACAGAATGATATGTACGTGGATGACCTTCTCACGGGAGCCGACAGCTTAGAGGACTAGCAAATGAAAAAGCTTCAGACCGAGAAAATTCTTCAACGAGCAGGTTTGAAGTTGTCAAAATGGAACTTTAGCGGTGAGAGATTTTTTAGGAGAATACCAATTCAAGGTGGATGGTAAAGAAGTGACAAAGGCCTTGGGAATGTCATGGAAACCGCAAACGGATGTATTTTGTTTCCGATTTGATCTGCCGAAATCCGAAGCTTCCTCCGAGAGGCAAGTTATTTCTGTCATTGCAAGTTTGTACGACATCCTTGGACTCCTAAGTCCAATCATTATCAGGTACAACATTTTTGTACAAGAACTTTGCAGAAATAGTCTTGAGTGGGATGAGCCGCTGCCTGATGCGCTGCAAGAAAGATTGCGGCAAATCGAGCCTGATTTACACATTTTAAACCAAATTGAAATTCCAAGGTTCGTCAATTCCTCGTCTAGTACGGAGTGCGAGATACACGGGTTCGCAGACGACTCAGAGCGTGCATACGGGTGCTGTATTTATCTCCGATCATCTCAAGAAAAACAAGCTATTTCGCGTTTAGTAATTGCAAAATCAAAAGTTGCGCCTGTTCAGACTATCTGTCTACCAAGACTTGAGTTGTGCGCACCATTGCTTCTTTGCGAAACATGGGATAAAATCAAACATAAGTTTGAGAACATATCCAAGAAAGTTACTTTTGGTCAGACTCGACAATTGTCAATTACAATGCACACATCCCAGCTTAAGTGTTTCGTAGACAATCGGGTGTCAACTATTCAAATAAAGTCCGCGAACATCAAATGGCGACATGTTCCGGGTCAGGAGAATCCAGCGGATATCGTTTCGCGAGGATGTGCCGCAGCCAATCTAAAAAACACAATCTGGTTCAACGGACCAACATTTCTTCGCTTCAACGAATGCACTTGGCCAAAGGAAAACCCAATTGCCAACTCTGCGGACAACGCATTAGAATTTTGTGGTAACTTTTAAATGTGGCGATAGCAGCATCGAGAAAACTATAATTGAAAGGCTTATCAGCAGAATCTCTTCATGTACTCGAATTGTCCGGATCGTAGCTTTCATATTTCAAGTTTTCAACGGCGTTCCTCCCAGCAAAGAGCTTCGTGCCTCACAGCCAAACGAACTTGATGCCAATGAAATTCAGAAGGCATTTATCTACATCGTCTCCACAATTCAAAGCCAAATCAAAGCCATGTCTGGAGGATCGAAATCCCAACAGTCTGACTCTCTGGCAGCGCGTCACATACCTCAAGCAGCAGTTTTGGGAGCTCTGGCGACGGGACTACCTTCATACGTTGCAACTTCGAAGCAAATGGTTGACGCCGCAAGCCAACATCACGCCTGGACAGTTAGTGATCATCCATGATGACAACACTCCACTTCAGCAGTGGCCTCTCGGTCGAATCTTAAATACTTGTTCTGGAGCTGACGGAAAAGTCAGAGTTGTCGACATAAAGACGATGAAAGGAGTTACTCTGCAAAATTGCGCCGCTCCCAGTTTAAGCAATCTGTTGCAAAAACCAGAGTCCTTCCAACGGGGGGAGGATGTTGGAGCACGACATTTAATTTATATTGTTAAAGAATCCTAAATTCAAA